CCCCGTGACCATGATCAGCAGCAAGCGCAGCAGGTACAGCGCGGGGGTGCGCGCGATGACGCGCACAGACCGGCTCATCAGCACGCGCAGCTCCCGCCACCACCCGTTCGCGTACTTGCGCTCGCCGCAGTGCTCTGACTGCGCGCCCGCGCCCGCGCAATTGCGCTCCCCGAGAGGCTGTAGCTGCGCCGCACCCACGCTTTCGCGCTCCCCGAGGAACCCCATCTGCGCGCTGGCACCGCCGCCGCCGCCGCTGTTAATTTCCGCCGCTCGAGCATCCGGCGAAGCACCTGAAGTAACACCTGATGAGGCGCCTGTAGGGATAGTGACCATTTCGTTCCCGTTCGCCGCGGCCGCTGCAGCCGCCGCTGCGGCAGCTGCAGCCGCAGTTCTCGCCGCTACAGCCGCCGCGGTCGCAGCCGCCACTACAGCCTGATCCGGGCTGAAGCACGTCGAGGGGCTGCTCGGAGGGATGGAAAAGCTCTCGCCACCCTCACTAGTACCGCGGGAGGAGTCGCCAATACCACTGGAGCCTCCTTGCGACCAGACAGTAAAGAAGTCGGCCAGCCGCTGAATTCCGTCTCTCTTGTCCGTCAGCTTTTCCGTCTTCGTCTCGGCCTTCGTCTCCGTCTCCCCGTCCCAGCAACCGCCAGACGGTTGCCTGGCCAGATGTTCAGATGCATTTGTCTTATTCGCAGCAGCTTCCCCCGCCACGTGGCACTTTATAATCTCGGTACCGTCCACGTCATATTCCTCCTCGTCTTCCTCATCGTCCACGTCTTCCCCGCGCTTTGCGCCACCTTCCGTCTCGTGTCCCAGCCGTTGGATCACATCCAGTGCGAATTCTGTCGGGTTCGCGAACGGTGGCGGCGGGCAGCCGAACGCAGAAAGAAATTCGGGCAGCTGCGCAGGCTGCCCGAAAAACAACATCCGTCCGGCGCCGAGCAGCAGCAGCCGATCCAGAAGACTCAGAAGGCGAAAGCTCGGCTGGTGCAAAACCATCACCACGATACTCCCCGTCCGCACCGCGATTCTCTTTATCACCTTCACGACTCGGAACGCGCTAGTAGAGTCCAGCCCCGACGTGGGTTCATCCAGAAACAAAATTTTCGAATCGCCGATCATTTCCACGCCAATCGCGACGCGCTTCCTCTCGCCGCCGGAGATTCCGCGGTTATTCTCATCGCCGATTTTGGAGTTTTCCACTTTGGTAAGGCCCAGCAGGCGGATGAGGCGGCGGACCTTCTCCGCCTTCTCCGCGTGGCTAACCGTCGGCGGAAGCCGCAACTCCGCGGCGTACATGAGCGTTTCGTGGACCGTCAGCGCGGGAAACATCAGGTCGTCTTGCATCACGTACGCCGACAGCCGTCGGATCGTGTCTCCTTTCACCGGAGCGCCGTTCAAGGAGATTTCCCCAGTGAGGTTGCGCGAAGAGATGCGGTCCGAGAGGACGTCGAGGAGCGTGGTTTTCCCCGAGCCGCTCGCTCCCATTATCGCGGTGACTTCGCCAGCCTTCGCGTATGCGGAGACGTCGCATAGAAGCTGCTTCGTCATGCGCTGCGACTTCGGCTGCAGGAGCTTCTTGCGTTGAACCGTATAGGAGACACCGTGGAAGGCGAGCGAGGATATCGGCTGCGCGGAGCTGGAAAGCGACGCGACAAAGGGCGGACTCCCTGCTTCCGGGGCGACGTCGACCGTGCATGTGCATTGCCGCAGGGCTGCACTTAGTGAGAAGTAGGGGTCACTCGCATCTGCTGCCGCCATTTTTCTGGATGGAGGCGAGTAAGCAAGTTAGAGCGCAAGTACGCAAGTGAATGGCTAGAGCTGCTTGTGTCCCTACGTTTGTGAAGAGGTGTGTGCAGTTGGTGATTTAGGCGAGAAGTGCGAGACTTCCGTGCTGCTCGCGTTCCCGAATCAATCTAAAAACACTACGAAAGTGAATGAGGTGGAAGGCAGTGGCTGCGACTTGATTTACAGACTGTGCTGACAACGACCTTGGCATTTGCTAACTTTCGGTCATAGGCATTCGGTAACTCCTGGCTTGGTCCTCGGCATTTGCTAACTCTGGTCTAGGTAATTGCTAACTGCCTTGCATTTACCTCGATGTTGACAAAGCTGATGCCATCAAGACTCTAGTGACTAGTCTAGAGAATGCAGCACCTGCCATCTACTCCCTAGGCTGCGGCGCACTATCAATGAGCTGCCGCATGGAGCAGATGTCCTTTCCGCTGTGGCGGGGATGTACTGCAGGGTGAAACAAATGTGGCAGGGCGACAGTTGATGGGAAAAGATCAACCAGGGGCCGAACTTCGCCAGAGGAGTGTTCAAAGTAGGGCCGGTAAATCTCGACCGTAGGATTTCAGCCCAGAGCTGCCCAACCGACTTGGCGAACAAGCCGAACCGGAAGTAAATGGTATTTGCTAGAAGAACCAAATTGTGTATTCATGTTTTTTATTGAGGGTTTTGACCTCCGTCTACTACAGCGCGCGCGTCGCCTTCTTCTGGAAGTAAAGTTCGGCGGATCAAATCGTGAGTACGTATAACATATTATATTCTGGGTGATAAATATCACCTACCCGATCGTAAACGCACTGGAAAAAAATATATTACCCATTCGGAAACAGATGCGACTCGGGAGGCATCAACCCTAAATACCAGGAAGTTATCCGTTTTAGGGTTGACCCATCCCGAAAATGCATCCAGGTTCCCTAAGAGTTGTAGTTTTTTTTGGCTGCCCTAAGAGTTTCCAGTAGAGTCGGCTCGCTAAACGACACGCGAGCGAAAATGCGAGCCGGTACATGCCACTAATAACATAATTACGTGCAATAAAGGAAGACCCTATGTTAATCCCTCTATGCGCAGCGGTTTGGGAAGTTCCGGGCCTCTTGGCCCCTGGTTGATCACCCCTCTGGCACTGTTCGGCCCCTCGTTGATCTTTTCCCACAGTTGATGACCTCGAAAGTGGGGGGGAGCGGGATGATTGGCGGAGACTGTGATGGAAAAAGGATGGGGAAGACACGCGGGGAAACGGGGAAGGGGGGGGAAGGGGATTTCTGATTTTCGGAAGGGCGGTGGTCTGCAGGGAAACTGTGTCGGAGCGGTGCGGTGCGGAACCACCCAAACGTCAGCGTGATGCCGATCGGACGGCTTGAAGAGCTTGTTGTGAGACCTGTGCGCGACAAGCGGTCCACGTGTATCCTGGGAGTGTCGTGCGTGCCGTGTGCATAGGCGGGGTGCTCGGCACGCGCCGTGAAAACATTTAGGTTTGACCTGTACATGAAAACTTCACTGGAGGTGGTGGGGGGAGGATCGCACATGTCAGAAAACCGGGCTGGAACTTCCATTTGGGGCAGCTGTCTCCGCCTGCAGGGAACCTCGAAACGCTGGGACACATTTTTGCCCCACGGGTGTCGGTTTGTAGTGATGGCGGGAAGGAATTGTTGAAAATTAGAGGCTGGTTTGATGAGATAGTTGTTGACCAGCAGACACCTGGATAGCTGTTGATCAGAATTGGGAATTCCAAACTTTTGCCCGTGATCGTAAACCCCTCCTCAAGTTATAACCATTTCCCAGCAGCTTGCTTACTTACCCAAATTACTCGAATGGGTCCATAACTACCGAGAAAATTAGTGAAAGTTTGTCCGGTGAGTATCAAATCGGACACGTCATATTCCTAGATGATGGCGCTGCCCACGTCAGGCCGAATCGCGTCTCTCATTGGATGCGGTGCTGATCGCTGGCATCAAGTTGGAAATTTCTCCGTAGAAGGATTCCCCGTTTTCAGCCTAGGATTCACAGTGTTCATAGTGTTCGGTGAAATGCGAATATTTTTCGTAACAGTAATGTTGATAAGGATGAAACGGAAGCAGTTCATGATATTTATGACCGACATGAACAATGTCTGTCAGTCACTTTCAGCCCAACGATCTGAAGTGCTTTGGCCTGAATCTCTGACATGCAGCCATTTTTCCCTGGCGAATTCATGACGTGTTTGTTTCGGAGCAGAATCGCTTGCTGCTTGTGGGTCACATCGATATCGCCTGATTGGGACCGCTGTTGATTCGACGGCATGCCTGGAAACGAACGGGCGATGGTAGTGTAGCGTCGGTTTGCCCGTCGCCTGTCAGCATGCACTTTTCCGACATGCACTGCTGCTAGTCACCGAGACAACAGCCCTTGAATATCACATCGGAAAGAGACGTCTCTCTTTGCCTGTCATTTCGACTCTTGAACCGCCTCAGACGAGCACACCTAGGGGTTCCTCCTCTACCTACCAAAAGATATCACACACCGGAGCATGCCGTCTCCCTGCCTGTCATTCCGCCTCGTGACGACGAAACAGTTTACATTGTACTTTCGGTGCTCTCTGCGGACAGCACTGTACCAGCATCGCAACCACAAGGTTCCAGAATCATCCAATCGGTCAAATCTTACCGTTGGTTAGTGCTCTTGAAAGTGACGTGCGGTGCAGATGATGCCATCCGTCTCTCGGATGACCAGTGAGGTTGGAATCACCGCCTGTCCGGATCAATTTCCTCTAGCGTGCCCCACCCACATGGCGATGTTCGCCAATCGCTTTCGCCAAATGCACTTGCAAGGAATTATCGAACCGCGTCGCTCTGCATGGAAGAGAAGCGATACGCGAGAGGCAGCGATGCGTCCACCGGAGCATGCGAGAGGCGATAAGAGGGAGAGCGAACTGACTCATTCGTTTCATGCATTGACTTGCTTCCGTGAATTCAGCCGTAGAAAAGCACGGCTTCCCTATATTGAACCACCCGACGTGCTGCGCGCTGCTTGCTGCTGCACTCGTCTACTCTCGTCTACCAGGAGCCCGGCCAATCTTCGTCTCGTCTCTCTCCGCCGCTGCCAGCCTCGATCCCCTCGATCGGAACGCCCAGATTTCCACCCTCCATCCACCACTTCCCACCACACTCCACCCCCCACCCAAGAGCATCCACGTCTTGCTAGCAGTACTTGTGCCGCTAGCCCGAGCACACATGGCTCCTAACGTCCCTGCTGCAAGCAGTTTCCCTTCAGGCGCCGTTTCCGTCGCCAGTACCGCTCTTCTCATGCCCCCCGCCAAGGCCCCGGCTACGCCGTCTGTTGTAGGGATGCGTGCGCACGCAAGCCCGCTCAAGCTGGCCCCCGGCCCTGCTGACGTGGCGGGCAACCCGCGCAAGTGGTCCCCACCGCCGCCGCAGGACGGCATCCCATTGGACGAGCGCCAAGAGTGGCTGCGCGACGAGGCGTTGCCGTTTCTGGAGCTGTTTGAGCGCAACGTGAGGAAGTTTCCGAGCAAGGCGGCGGTGACATGGGTGGAGGAGAAGGGGGTGATCAAGCAGTCGTACACCTATGAGGAGGTGCGTGCATGGATGCGAGGCTATTTATCCACAAACAATTCTTTTATGAAAAGGGATATTTGTGCATGTACAGCAGCCTGACGCGGGTGCAAGGCGCTGTTTGCTGTTAGCAGCGGTGGTAACTTCGTCAGTGTGAAAACTCTCTTCGTCAGTGTATCCCATCTTCTTCCTCTCTCCCCCTTCCCAACCCCACTTGCTATTCCCACCCCCATCCCCCCCAGCTGGACGCACTGTCCCGGGCCGTGAGTGTGTCGCTGGTGGGCGAGTGGGGGGCAGCGAGGGGCGACCGAGTGGTGCTGCTGTACCCGCCCGGGCTTGACTTCCTCATTGCCTTCATTGCCTGCCTGCGGTCTGGTGGGTGCGCTTGAGCATGGGAGCGTGAGATGTGGGACATGGCATGTGGGATGTGGGACATGGCATGTGGGATGTGGGACATGGCATGTGAGATGTGGGACATGGCATGTGGGATGTGGCATGTGGCACATGGCATTTGCTCGACTTCCTCATCGCTTTCATTGCCTGCCTGCTCTCTGGTGGGTGTGCTTGAGCATGGGAGCATGTGACAAGTGACACGTGGCGTCTGGCATGTCGCGTGACATGTGAATTCTATGTGACACGTGGCTTGTGACATTTGACGTGGGGTTTGGGCAGGGGAAAAGTTCCCCCTCAACTCCCCATCTCTCCAACCCCGGTTCCCCTTCCCCACCCACTCTCTGTCCACCCCCTCTTCGCCCATTGTGCAGGAGTGGTAGCGGTGTCACTGTACCCGCCCAACCCCCGCGAGCTGAAGAAGGACGTGGAGAAGCTCACTCGCCCCCGGTCCTTCCCCCTTACCCCCCCCCCTCCCCCCTCTTCCCTTCTGTCCATTCCCTTCCATTATGGTTGTGCAGGAGTGGTAGCGGTGCCAGTGTACCCGCCCAACCCACGCGAGCTGAAGAAGGACGTGGAGAAGCTCACTCGTCTCGTCAACGACTGTGGGGCTCACATCGTGCTCTCCACCTCCGAGTGAGTGTACCTCTGAGTGACCTCTCTTTGGAGTGCACCTCTCTTTCGAAGAGTCTGTGCCTGAAGCTGGTATCGTAGGCAGTGCAGCTGCTGGCTGCATCACTTGCTCATTACCCACCACTAGGCTGCCACACTGCACTTTCCAAGTCCTAGTTTCACAGCAGCTCTGCGCCGGGTTCCTCCAACTAAGATCTTTCTGTCTCTGCTGAAGCGTTTTAAAAACATCCGAGATTCCCGTCAGGTTTACCGCTCCAATCCGCCTATCGCTGCTGAAGCTCGTGCGCTGGTATAACACCAAAAGCGTCAAGCCGCTCAGTTCTGATGCCACTTCTGGCATTTACTCTGTTCTGCCCACCATACTCCCTCGTTCATTCCATCAGGTATCGCTCCAAGATCCGCCTGTCATTGCTGAAGCTCGTGCGCTGGCCGGGCGAGCACTGGTATAACACCAACGGCATCAAGCCTCTCCCTCGCAACGCGGCTGAGAAAGACAGCAGCAGCAGCAGCAACAGCAGCAGCAACGAGAATGGCACTGGTGATAGCAACATCAGCAGCAGCAGCAGTGATGAGATTGCGTTTCTGCAGTACACGTCAGGGTCCACTGCGGATCCCAAGGGCGTCATGATTACGCACACCAACATCGCCCACAACGTCATGTTCATCCGCAGGTGCGTGCTGCTCTGTGCCAGGGTGGAGAAAAAGCGAGGGAAAGAGCAGGCGTCAAGTTTACACTCGCGCCAGTGTCACGTCACGACGCACTATGTTCATCTGAGAGTGAGACAGCATTTCATGGAACGACAATATCTAAGCCTGGCTTACCTCCCCCATCCATCTCCACTCGGCCCTGTCCCCTTCACAGGACCCTGCGCATGCATTCCGGTATCCGCTTCTTCAGCTGGCTGCCTCAGGTGAGCTCTTGCTGCTCGTGCTGCCTCAGGTGAGCTCGTGCTGCCTCAGGTGAGCTCTTGCTGCTCGTGCTGCCTCAGGTGAGCTCGTGCTGCCTCAGGTGAGCTCGTGCTGCCTCAGGTGAGCTCGTGCTGCCTCGGGTGAGCTCGTGCTGCCTCGGGTGAGCTCGTGCTGCCTCAGGTGAGCTCGTGCTGCCTCAGGTGAGCTCGTGCTGCCTCAGGTGAGCTCGTGCTGCCTCGGGTGAGCTCGTGCTGCCTCAGGTGAGCTCGTGCTGCCTCAGGTGAGCGGTCGTGCTGCTCTTGCTGTGTGGCTACGGAGTTCAGCTGTGATGGCAGGCAGCACACAAGCAGTGCTCGCATCACATGGCAAGCACTGCACGTGCACATTCACAGCAGGCAGGTGACAACGGTTTATACATGTGTATGTTCGCCTTCGCTCCCTCCTCCCTCTCCCCTCCCTTCCCCCTCCCCACCAGTACCACGACCTGGGGCTCATAGTGGCGTATCTGAGCACGCTCACAGCGGGCGGCAGTGGGGTGTACATGTCACCCATCGATTTCATCCACCGCCCCGCCTCCTGGCTGCAGTGGATGAGCCGCCTCAAGGTGAGTGCAAGGGGGAGGTAGGGCCGGGTGTGAGGTTGGGCTGGGGCTGGGGTAGGGAGAGGCACAGTGGAGTGTGCATGCTGCCTACCAACTTCATCCACCTCCCCGCGTCCTGGCTGCAGTGGATGAGCCGCCTCAAGGTGAGCGCAGGGGGGAGATGAGAGGCCCTGGGTGGGGGAGGCTTGGGGTGTGGCATGTGATTTGGGGGCTGGAAAAGGAAACTCAGGATCCTCTGCAGGAAACTGGGCAACTGGGCAGGGGAAGATCAATCAACAACCTCTTGAGTTGGAACTCTCCTGCCTGCCTGCCTGCCTCGGCACCCCACGACCTGCTCTCTTGCTCCTTCCTTCTCCTTGCTATCATGTGTACTTACAGAAACATTTCCTCCCCCCCCCTCTCAACTCACTCCAGATCACGCACACAGCAGCGCCCAACTTTGCTCTCAACCTCGCCACGCGCAAGTTCATCCCTTCCAGAGATGCTGCCCTGCCCAAGCCCTTCCTCTCCGCCTCCCTCCCGCCCTCCTCCTTTCCCACCCCTGCCAACTCCCCCTCCTCCACCCCCACCGCTCTCAACCCATCTGCTGTGCTTCCCACCACTCTGGACCTCTCGTCGCTGGAGTGCTTCTTGAACGCTGCGGAGCCGGTGCGGCCGGAGACGATAGAGCGGTGGAATGCGGTGCTGGGGCGGTACGGGTGGGACCCGTGCGGCATGTGCCCGTGCTATGGGCTGGCAGAGCATGTGGTGGGCGTGTCGGGGTGGGGCAGCAAGGTACGTTGATTCTAGTCTGGTATGTGGAGAATGAGCATGTACTTCAGGTACTTCAAAAGCACACAGTATACGCACGAATGGGGCATGAGCTTTTGACCTTGTGCATCGTGTGGCAGAGCACGGGAATGGCATGTCGGGATGAGGCAGCAAGGTACGTTGAGAATTTTGGGTATATGAAATGCGCGTTACACTGGTAAAGAGTGGGTTTATCTAGGTGCGTCCCATGCCTGCCCTCTATCTCTTCTCCTTTTCCTTCCCCTTTCCTCTGTGCTTGTTCCCCTTCCCATTAACTGCTGCATCTCCCCGACATTAATCTCCACAGCAGCGGTTACCTCGCTACCTACCCATGCTTGCCCAACCTCATCTGCTCCCCCTCCCGTCCGTCTGCTTGCCCCACCCACCAGCTGCTGCATCTCCCGGACATCACTCTGCATAGCAGCGGCCACCTCGCCACGTACCCTGTGGACGGCCGGGTGGTCATCGTCAATCCTGAGACGCGTGAGGAGTGCGCGGAGGGCGAGGAGGGTGAGATCTGGGCGCGCAGCTGCCACGTGGCGCGTGGCTACTGGGGCAAGCCGGAGCTGTCAGAGGAGGTGAGCTTGCAGCCTTACTCGTCAGCCCTACATGTCATCCTTACACCCCTGCACCTCGTTCCTCTCTCCTCTTCCATCATCCTGCCTCTTCCGGACTGTCCGGGCGCGCATGAGGGAGGGAGTGCCAGGCTCGGACGAGGGCGCCTATCTGCGTACTAAAGATCTGGGGCTCGTGGTGGCACAGCAGCTCTTCACCCACTCACGAGTGCTCTGTCCCCACCTACTCTTGTTTTCCTCCTGCCTCTCCTCCCCTCCTCCCCAGACCTTCCGGGCGCGGATGAGGGAGGGAGCCCCAGGCTCCGACAGCAGAGCCTACCTGCGAACGGGGGATCTGGGGCTGGTGGTGGCGCAGCAGCTGTTCATCACAGGGCGCATCAAGGACCTCATCATCGTGGGCGGGAAGAACTACTACCCGCAGGACATCGAGCTCACCGTAGAGGCCGTTTCAGACACCATTCGCCCCGGCTGCTGCGCCGCCTTCAGCGTGAACAAGACGAGCCACGGGGCGGCAGTGGGCGGCAAGGGAGATACTGGGGAGAAGGGAGAGGAGGAGGAGGTGTTGGCGGTGGTGGTGGAAGTGAAAGCAGTGGCGCAGGAAGGGTGGTGGCGCGGAGGGGGGGGAGGAGGAGGGAGTGGGGAGGGTGGGTTGACGAAGCAGCAGATGAATGAAGTGGCGGGGGAGATTCGCAGTGCTGTGGTGCGGGCTCATGGTGTTATGCCTGCCATCGTGGCTATCATTCCTCCTCGCACGGTGAGTGCAGTGGCACGGATAAGGGGGGTTTGTGTGCAGTGAGTCTGCAGAAGCAGCAGACCGATGAGCTGACGGGGGAGATTCGCAGTGCCGTGGTGTTATGCCTGCCATTGTGGCTATCGTTCCGCCCCGAACCGTGAGTGCAGTGGTGTGGGTACGGAAGGGATCTTCATGATGACATGGCTTTCATTCCACAAGGACCATCTTTGAGCTGCGTACCGTCACGTTTAAAAAATGCTTCCAATGTCTTGCATTTGCTAGCTAGACGGGTGAGCCTACTGCTGCAGACGGATTGGTTCTTCCTCCTTTGTTGCTTCCCCCGCGCCTCTCTCTTTCACTCTCCTTTGGCCTCCCTGGGTGTCAGATCCCCAAGACCACGAGTGGCAAGATTCGGCGCAAGGAGACGAGCCACCGTCTCACCACAGGCGCACTAAACGTGCTCAACAGTAACTCGCACATGGAAGGAGGCGCAGGAGAGACCATTGTAAGTTTATGAACTTTTTCTAGGCGACACATTGATTGACCATTTTTGTTATTAGGCATGCGAGACAAAAACCTTTCGATCGTGAGATTCTTGCGAGACCCTTTTTGAAACGCAGTGCGGGAGGAGTGACTGTAAGATGAGGAGTGAGTGTCAGGCATTACTCTGTAGTGACATGTTCACGTGTTTCCTACATTCTGCCCGTGTCCCTCTTTCTGCCAACTGCTCAGGAGAGTCTGCATTCGATCCCTGAGCCTTCTGGGGCAAAGGGAGGAGAGGAGGACATGGTGATTATCGAGGAGGAAAGCTCTGCTGAGATGCCTCGAAAAGAGGTGCTGATTGGCCAAGAGGAGAGTGAAAGTCAGGAGCGGGAGGAGGCAACCAGTAAGAAGGTGGAGGAGGAGGGGGGACAGGTGGAAGGAAAAGGGGTGAGTGAGGAAGAGAGTGTGGAGGTGGAGGGAGGGGAAGCTGTAGATGAAGCAGAGGAGGAAGCAAATGTAGTGGCACCACTGGCAGTGGCGTCAGAAGCAGCAGCAGCAACAACAGCAGCAGCAGCAGAGGGCGACGTGGCAGAGGCAAAGGATGGGCAGGGCAAGGATGCAGAAGGGGATGGGGATGCGGAAGCAGAGGAGGACATGGGTGCGGCCAAGTGGGATGGCATGGGAGTGGAGGCAGCTGTGAAGGCTATCATGGGCATCCATGTGAGCGCCACTCCTGGTTTTATTGTTGTTCTGGGTTTTCCTTTCCCCTTGTCTGTTTCTATTTTTTCTCTTGCTTAGGTGTACTGTTTCCCTCCGGGGTCACGATGTCGAGAAAATGCTTGTATACATACCTCACCTCGCCTGGCATCTCCTCTCAGGACCTGGAGATAGCCGGGGAGCCTCTGCTGATGCACATTGATCTCACATCAATGAATGGCATGGCGGTGCTCGAGCTTCTTCAGAGGCGCTATAGGTCTCGAGACTCAAGCACTCGTTTCCGCTGTGCCTTGTCTCTCCTCCTGTCTCCTCCCAGGACCTGGAGATCGCTGGGGAGCCACTGCTGATCGACATAGGCCTGACGTCAATGAATGGCATGGAGGTGCTCGAGCTGCTGGAGAGGCGCTGCGACCGCAGACTTGTTGTCGATGACATGGAGGTGAGCTGATAGTGGCCGGCATGACGCGATGACTGCTGGTCTAAGCGACTTCTGTGCTGATGGTTTACGCACTGGTGGCTAATTGGCGTTTCTGCCTTTCCCACATTCCTCTACCCCCATCACACAGCGACTCACCATTGGACATTTGCGCCAGCTGGATCAGGGCATCCCCCTCCCTGACACATTCGAGGTGATGTAAATTACTCGTGATCAGAATATCAGTAACATGGCCTTGCTTCCACGTGGTGCTGTCCCATTTACACCCTCCTATCCATATGTTTGGTGTTGCCTCCTGACTCCGTTTTTCTGTTGGGTGTGATTTGTCTTTCTCACTGCAGAGTGATGACGAGGATGAGGACGAATGAACTCTGAAGCTGGAATCACTTGTTAAGCTCTTATGTGTACAGCATATGCTCTTATGTGTACAGCTGATGTTCCTATGTATCTAAAGAAGAGTATTATCAACATATATTTTTCCAACGTCAGTGAACCGTTGATGGAACGCGTTACTGTGAAGGAACACAACGGTCAGAATCCATCCCCGCATGACAAACCAGCGTCGTGGGCGAAACTGGGCGAAACCCAGCGAAACACGGCGAGGGCCAGTTTGGAACAGAGGCGAAGAGGCGCAGCGAATCGCCAGGAAGAACCTTCCGCTTGAGGCATACGTTTGCACGTTTTTCGCATTCTTCCGCGGCTTGCAGGTTGGAGTTTTCAACGGACGTCGGCCATGGCGGTGACGTCTTCTCATTTGGGCATGAATTTGATCTCCAATGTCCCGGGTCTCCGTGCTTGGCTGAGCCATGCCTAAAGACTCGCAGCAGTGCATGCATTTTGTCCCTGACGTTTACCTTTCGCATGCGCATCGGAGCTTTTACTCAGCGGAGCTCATGTTTCAGAGCGCATTATTTCAAACTAATTCCCCTTAGTGCTTTCAGTTGTGTTGCGCCAGCATAGGCTTGTTCTAATCGAAGTGCACAAATTAAGTCTCGCGTTTTTAGGTTCCATACCATTCCTGAACCCTAACAGGAGGATCATTTCAAAAGCACGAGGCTGATTGTCCGCGACGAGTTTCCATAGCCATGGCCGCAGCTATTCTTTCTCAATGTCCATTGATCCGAAACCATTTTTAGTTAAACCAATCGCTTAGTCGCACTACGCGTCACTCGCATCTTCGAGTATAACCTCTCAGCTGACCCATCTGGACATTTTCGCCTTCACTAACACGAGGCGCTTTATTCTTCCAGCTCCTGTACTGAGCAAGGCCAGAAGTCGGGTTTGAGAATGGCGTTCCTCACAGTTCAAGAGTCGCTAACTTGGGCGATACTGTTCTGGATGGTGGCGTTTCTTGTCTCAGCAGCATTAGTGGGCATCGTCATGTACATGGTGCGTTTACTTGTGGTGGAATCCGGTCGTAGTTTTCAAGCACTGGAAGCTGCGGTTCATGTTAAAAATTTACAAGAATCATGCGGCAGAGTTGTCACTAGCACCCAGCTTGTATACGCGCAACAGTTCTGTGTTTATCGGATACCCCTATACAGCCTGGTGCAGATCAAATCCATCTCGTGTTTTCTAACGTGTTTCCTCTACTTCACTACTTTGGCTGGACTCCCTTGTTCCTTCACCTTCTCATTCAGCTCATCTGTATATCGGACCTTGAAAACGACTTCATCAATCCACATGACGCCGCCAGAAGAGTCAACGGCTTCGTTTTTCCAGAGATCTCCCTCCATTCCGGGCTGACCGTTGTCTTCGCCCTCACCGGCCACTGGCTCATGTTCCTTATCAACCTCCCTCTCGCCCTTTACCACCTTCACCTGTGAGTGTCACCATGACTTCATGCATAATGCTGCTATTATCAACCCGCAAGTTGGGTTCCTCTTCTCTCTGGAGCATTGCCGTCAACAACATCTGGCCTCCTATTTTCCCTTTCATTTACCATACAGATACGTCAGGAAAGAGCACATGGTGGATGTGACGGAAGTTTTCAACCAAATAAGCGTTCAAAGAAGACGGCAGCTAATTAGATTCGTCATCTACCTGACTCTAATGATCGCCACGATATTCAGGTCAGTCAGAAGAGAGAGAACCGCATATAACATAACCCTCTCCTGTCCTAAAAGCTGGGCCCCAAATTCCTGCTTTGCCAGCTATAACTGAGCAGTTTTTATATCTTCTCCACTCCCGTTCCCTGCCCTTCTCTCCACTCAACAGGATGGTGGAGCGAGGGGTGACAGCAGTAATGGAGAGCCATGGGGGAGCAATCCATGCCAAAGTTTTAGGAAACGTGGCAGGCCTCTCCAACATATCTTCTATGTAGACCACAAATAAGGTGGTGATTTTGACATGCACCCACCTGACAGGCACATGGACGGAGGTTTCAACTCTTGGAAGGACTGCCATAGCTTCACCCACAGGTTCCAACTCTGTCCAGTGCTCTGGAGATTAGGTGTAGAATCTTCTGCTAACTTGCTTGGTTAGCCATTAAGGGCGCCATGTTAGGAAATAATGATGCTCGTGTTACATGAAAGCAAACATTGATCTGATACGGCATCAACTGGTGGGACAGTGCCAGGTAATGCATCAAATCCACTGGTGGGATAGTGCCAAGTAGCGTAGCAAAATCACTGGTGAGACAAAATTTAATGGGCAATTATTTGTAACATCAACAATACAATAATAAGAAATATTCAGTCAAAACTGGATCGTGGGCCATATTTGACCCAGAAGGCAAAACTCTTCAATATGCACAAGAGCTTAAAAGACAGCTCCACACATGCAGCAGCTCCACTACTTCATCCTCTCTAAAACCTCCTGCTGTAACACCTTAAACCTCCTCCGTTGCAGACTCACAAGCTGCCGCTCTGTAAGCAACTGCAGCAGCATCTAGGTGGCCTGCCCCCCGCCTGGCATCTACGTGGCTAAGTGACATGCTGCTGCTGGCATCACTGGCATGACTCTGGGATGCTGTTTGCGGCTGGAGCTTGAGGTACAACTCAGTAAGCCTCTCCTTGGCCTCGCTGAGGATAAAGACAGCGAATGTCACCCGCTGCGCTCGGGGGATGAGGCCTCTGAAGAGGGTCTTGCTGCCTCCTTCTCTCCACATTCGTGCAAACGTGCCACTCATAGACCTGAAAGGAGAGAGGAGAAGGTTGCAGAAATGAGAAATATGCCCACTGTTACTCATCCGTCAACTGGATCAGTCGCACCAGGCACAGATGTACAATAAGGGAAACGAGCTGAACCTCCCGTACCTGAAATTAGGATCTGCGAGATTGGCCTGCATGCGCGTCTTGACGGTGTCGAAGGGCTGCGTGAGCACCGCCGCTCCCACTCCCGCCAGCACCGACGCCGTCGCCATTGCCGCGACGGGCCTCTCTGCGAAAATCGGCCACGCCTTCTCCATGTGCTCCGTCATCACAGGAATCACTCCCAGGTACGCCCCTGTGAAGATCGCTTCTCTCACGACTGCGGGATTCTGCAGCGAAATACGGGAGGGGGTGATAAAAACGACGGGAAGAAGGTGCTGAGCAGATCAGCAAGCACTTGGTGTGTGCTTGCGACTGCGGCTACCTAGTGTGCCAGTGGGCAGTTGTCAGGCCCAGAACTTCTATCCGACCATGCAGATTTCCCCCTCTAGATGACGTCATCCTATCACGTTGGATAAACAGCTATTGAAGCGGCAACACGGATGTACTCGAAGAGACAACAGGGATTGACGTTGAACCGACTGAGTCGTTATGAATCTTGCACTCCCACGATTGAAAAAGGCAATACTCCCATTTGATCACGTAAACATCCATTTGCACGAAACATCGTCCCGCGTACCGTTCCTCTAGCGAGTGCGAAGACACCGTGCTCTCCAACGACATCCCGTAGTCTCGCGCCCAGCGATCCTCCCCACTTCTGCTGCTGGATCATCAGCAGCTCCGCCGGACCCGTGATTATCCCCGACATAGCACCCGCCGCCGTCGCCGCTCCCGTCCGCGTCGTGTCATTCAACTGACCCCTCGCCGCTAACCACTCTTCTAGAAAGGTGTTGGCACCGAACTGGAATCCGTTAATCGGCGCAATGGACGCGGCGTTCACGGCCACCCCGCGATAGAGCAGTCTGGGGTGCAGCGGGACGGGTCTCATGTCCTGCACGGCGTTTTTCCACGTGACCAGCGGTTGCTGCAGCAGCACCTCTATGACGCCTGCTAGCCCGCCGATGGCGGTCGATACAGCCGGCGAGATCGCCAGATCCTCTTCCAACCCCATCTGTGCTGATGCTTATTGTGAGTACAATACTACTAGTGGCTAAAGATGGGGACTATGAATTGGCCCAGCGAACTCTGGAAATGTTTGATTTGAAGAACGATGTGTCGATGCGCAGACGGCGGAGAGCGAGCAGGTGCAGTTACACGAAATAAGACCAGAGAAGCTAGATTTATGTGGACTGCTGTAATGGACGGAGACGTACCTCTAAGCCAGGAGAAGGGCAAAGCCTGGTTGGTGGTCAACAACGTCCGTGCACCTGCTGCCTTGGAATTGTTTTTAGAAGTGGATGGTGGACGACACACTCTCCTTGGGCGAAAGTGATTCTTGGCGATTTCAAAACTCAGCCTCGGAAGGCGTCGCGTGGACTCCAGGCCTGTGGTGCACTGAACCTTGGTGGGAATACAGGTATCCTCGAGATAAAAAACTTATCCTAAAGGCCACGTGGGAGGAAAAGGTAGGGAGATTTCTGCAACTGACTCGAGGGCTTCGAACCAAGCCATTGGAATTGCCCCAAACAATTTTCCCGCTTCTGGAAGCTCTCCCCAAGCTTCTCCCACCACAAACTGTACTGGTTCGTATGGCTGGTTGTGATTTATCAATTTCGCGCGACTCCGCAAAAACTTATTTCAAGCACCGTTGGCAAGAGTACTGTCTTGCTTACGTGCACAGAAGTTTCGGTTATTGCCGTCATTGACCACTAAGAAAGAGGTGTCTCCACGTGGCGGCAGGCGACTGTTAGATATGTTCCCGTGAAAGTGGATGTGCCCCACACCCCCATGAGGCATCTCGTTTGCGGAATGAGGTGTCGACAAGTCAGTTTGGGCGGTTGCTTAGCTTGACCCTTCCAGCTTTCTGGGAGCCTTCTTTTATCCATCACAGGTGCGTTCCGCTCTTCGAGATCCTGGGCACCTGAAGAACTGGAAATGACATCCCATCTCAGAGATACGCTTCACAAGCAATCTCGCTAAACATCTTTATGATCATCTATCGGTGTTTCCGTGTTGCCTAATGGTGAAGTTTCTTAGAGATCTTTCGCTTGTTTCTTGGGAACAGCCGTCATTTGAATTTGTTTGTCTGCCACCCTTCAGATTCACCTGCTCCACCTGCGCTCTGAGATCAGTTGAGGAGGTTGCAACCGCAGCTGTTTCTGACGGCGGGAAGGCGTTTGGGGCCGTCGATTTTGTTCTCACATCTCGTTTCCGTCAGCTTGGTTGACAGCGGGAGGGCGCCGTCAAGAACAGGAGATGTCGCTCTCGTTGCGCGGCTGGCTGTTGAAGGTCAGGGGAGGGCGCACTTCCGTGACGCGGATGTACACCGCAAGGGTAACGGAATTACGACTTCAAACGAGGGAGAGGATAAGTACGTCCTTGGTAAACAAATGCAGTCACTAGCTTCATAGCTAAGGGTGAACAACAGATACCTAGACTGTTATGTATAATAATCTCATTGGTCGAATGGACCGCGAGGGATTACGGGCTTACGATTTTCGCAGAATAGTTCGGCCGTCGCCGCGTGTCCTCGTTGCTTTGGTCGCGCTGCTCGCTCTCGCAAGCGTTGTCTGCGATGCCTTGGGTCCCCGTGATGAACTTTTCGCCCCTGCGACCGCCGCGAGCACTGTCGCAGAGCAGGCCCATCATGCGACAGCTAGGCGCGGGCGAATGCTCGCGAACGTGTCCAAAGAATGGAGCCGCGTGACGATCATCGACAGTCGGCGACGGTTAAAGCCGAGGAGTGAGGACGGGAACGAGCTGCAAAAGGTGGACTTTGCGCGGAAGATGAGATCGAATTCGAATAAGAACAAGAAGCAAAAGAACGGACGCCAGGAAGAGGAAGATGGGATTACGTTCACCGGATCAAGCAGCAAGAAGAAGCAGGAGAAGAAACAGAAGTCGAAGGCGCCGAAGCAGAAACGGCAACGGATGGAGGGTGAGGAGTCCAGGAACGAAAGCCCAGTGACGAAGAAGGAGAAGAATGGAAAGAAGGAAAAAACGGAGAAGATTAAGAATGTGAAGAAAGTGAAGAATCAGGCGAGGCAAGGGTCAACTGAGGAGGGATCCTCCTCAGCTAAAAAGGTCAAGAGGTCGAGCCGTTTTGCCGATCGACATCGTGATGACGAGAACGAGGAGAATGATCACGAGCATGACGAGGACGACGACGACGACGACGATAATGACCATGAGGGCCCTGGCGACGACGATGAAGGCGACGATGATCACCGTTGTCCCTCTCCCCCGCCCCCCCCACCTCCTCCCCCCCCCGCACCTCCCTCCGCTCCCCCGCCTTCCACCCCGCCGCCTGGCCCTGGAGTCGCGACAAAGTTCAGCTGCCCGCCCACTCCCGAGATGTGCTCGTTTGTTTTCGAGGGGTACGAATCCGATCTCCCTACAATCATGCTCCCTGCTCTTAGTACCAAGCCCGCTGCATCCAAGCAGGCGTTGCGCCCTAAGGCAGCGTACGATGCGAACCTGGAGCCTGGTACACTTGTGGCCCTCTTACGCGGGTCAACTCTGGATTTATCCGACACCGTGGCTGACATGTCGCGAATCATGTGTCTGGGAGGGCAGAAGAAGAACGCGACACTCCCAAGGTTTGCGTTCAAGCTGACTCCAGACGGCCATCTGAGATACGATGACACGCGAGTGAGTGGTGACATGGCTTGGCTGGCAGCGGCCCAAACAACGGAAGGCGCGGTGGTGATGTTGAGAATGAGGTCAGTCACTGTAGACGCGTTTGGCATGCCTATGCGTGTCAAGGGGAATAGCCAAAGGGCGAATTTCCACAGCAAGAGAAACTGTGTGCTGTTCAGGGTGAAGTTTGAGGGGGTTGCTACGATGAAGAAGCGGAAATGGCCATGAGGGAGTTTAAGAACCGGGAGATGCAGGAGGGGCTCCCTTCTAAGAGATGATCGGTGCTTTTGAAGTATGGAATGGAAGCTATAGGTTGTATGGTGTGTTTGCGTGCAGCATAGGGCTCTTTAAAGGGTATGGAAATAAGAATGCATGATGTGCTGCTGTGGTTTTGCCGGAAGGGGATAGAATGGAAGCTGGCTCAGGCTGTGAGAAGTTAAGCAAAGGCAAGTTGTATGGCATACCTTGTAGTTCATACCTTGTATGGCTAAGGTGTGTAACTCCAAATGCAAACCAGCCATGCTATGGTATTATCGAATTTGTCACAGAAACTTTGTTCGTCATATGATTGATAAATTTTGGGTGGGTAGGTAAGGGTACGGTATTATCCGCAATAAGATAGTATCGGAGATCTCCCAGAAGCGAGGGTCACGTGGGTACGGCCACGTCACCAAAGTACCTTCTGATATGGCACGTAAGACGTGCGCCGTTGAGAACGAAAGATGTCGCCGACCGTGAGTGGTCGATATTCAGATGAGCCAATCCTTAGCGCCACTATATCCACCATCTGTATATGCGCTTCGGTCCACAAACTGATCAAGCCGCGGGTGTCGAAGCAGGCTAGGAACCAGACCGTACCGGATCCTCCACCTGAAGGTCCGAGCCAAATCTGCACTTCACACCAATTTGGCGGGAGTTTGGTATGGGAACTCGGCAAGGACCACAGAGGAATGAAAACCTTGCCAAGTGCAAAATTCGGCCTGCACCGCGGCATGGTCCAAACAAGCCTTCCGGCCCAAAAGAATCTGAAGGTCTTGTCAGGCAGCCGAGCCAAAGACCAGCTTCGTTCTCAGCTTCGTCCTATTTCCCCTCGAACCAGGGCCCCCAAACCGCCTCCCACCTTCCCCTGCGCTTCCAACCAACCAACCAACCAACCAACCGCTCCACTTGCGACTTTCATCGCTGCTAGTCGTAGCTCGTCCATTCACGCTCGGAATATTCTGCCAGAGAAGCAGCAGCCAAACGGATGCACCAATCAACCACACTTCCCTCACTACTCTTCACTTTTCAACACTCCCTTACCCATTCTCCCGTCTCCCTCTGCCCCTCTTTGTTGGTGCTGGTGGATAGTGCGCACAAGCAGCAGTAGCGGCTTATTCGAACCCGTGTGTAGCAGTTTTCGTGGTCTGGCACTGATAGTGGCCTCGCACTACATAGTCGTTTGAGGAATTTCGTGCATATTACCTAAACACCCCGCAATTGCGTATTCCGTGCGCACTCTCAGTCATGGCTGCCGACATAGCTGCTACGCAAACCTTTCTTCGCGGAACAACAATCTGCCAATTCTCCGCCGCCTCCCCGCGCACAACCTTCTTACGCCAGCCATGCGGTCAACGTGCGAACTCTCAATTATTCTCCCCCACCCTCCCGCTGCGAACACAACCCTCGCGAACCCTAAGATCCTCACTCGCTCGATCGCGCCTTTCTTCCAGCGGGGCCGCGTTCGGGCCGGCACGGCAAAAGTCGTTCCTTTCTGCGAGAGTGCCTGGAGGGGAGAACGGGGCAGCGGCGGCGGAAGGAGGCGGAGGTACTAGTAAGCGCGATCTCCGGGGCCCCGCTCCCGCCGCCGCCGGAAGCGCAATGTCGCCAGAACTCACGCCAGACGGCGCGGTATCGGCTCTCGGCACGGCGGCGTCGCAGGAGAACGCGGAGGAGTGCGCGGCAGTGCTGGCGCGGCTGGGCCGGTCCGCGGACAGCCTCCCCCCGGACCTGGCGGACGCGATTGCGCGCGGGCGCGTGCCCGGGGAGGTGGTGGAGCGGTACGCGGAGATGGAGAACACAGTGGTGCTGGGGTATTTGCTGCGGTTCGGCGGGTTTAAGGAGCGGTTGCTGGCAGACGATCTGTTCATGACCAAGGTCGCGATCGAGTGCGGCATTGGCATCTGCACCAAGGTGCGGCGGCGCTCTGATTTTGTTTTTGAATGAATTGGATAATCTGAAGGGTGGGTCGTTTCGGCGTCAATGGATCGAGAGAGGTAGGATTCGCTTTGAGACGTCCCATGACAGACTTAAGGCTTGTGTTCTGCGGGACTGGGCCTTTCAGACCGGTTCCATTTAAGATTGCTCGTTGCTGCTCTGGTTGACTGCTAGAACTGTTTGGCTGATTCCCCTTTTTCCCCGTGCTGTCCCCTTCCCCTCCGCGGCAGACCTCGGCGGAGTTGGAGAGGCGGCGAGCGGCCTTCTTCCCCGAGTTCGACTTCGTCATTGCTGACGTGGTAAGCAGCTGCTGATGTGGTGAGCAACTGCTGACGTGGCGAGAGATTATTTCGTAATAGCCAGCGACTGATGCCCAAATGCTGCCATTAGGACGACCATGTCAGCGTTTCCGATCAGACATGTCCTTCCGCCCGCTGTGCCGGTCCTCTCGTGACCCCACCCTCCGATTCACTTCCTCTTGGCCCCATTCGTCCATTCCGTTAACATCGTCATTTGACTTCCCGTGTTCCCCTTCCACATTCCCCCCAACTCCCCCTCCCCTCCTCCCCTTCCCCACGTTGATTAGTGTCTCTGTGGCCCTTTTGTCCAATCCTCCCTTGACCACGACCCTCTCTGGAACCACTCGCCTCCCCCACCGCACTCAACCACACACCATTCCTCTCTATATTTGCAAACTGGATCATGGCACTCGTAGCTGACTTCAACCTCGCGTGGCTGCCCCCTCCCTCCACCATCCCACCGCACCCAGTGCCCTCAGGCTGAACACCCCATCCTGCTCCACCACTTCTTATCCCTCTCTACCGCCTGCACCCCGCCTTGCCAGCAAATCATTGCGCTGATAGCAGACTCACTGCTCGTGTGGCTGTTCGTGCTCACCATCCCACCGCACCCAGTGCTCTCAGGCTCACCACCCCTAGCCATCCTGACGACCCGAGCCCTGCTCCACCGCTCCTCAACCCTCTCCACTGCACTGCACCCCACTGTTCCGCTGCCGATAGTGGCCTTCATGCTAGTGGCTGCCCGTGCACACCATCCCTCTGCACCCAGTTTTCCCTGGCTAACTACCCCACATCATTCTGGCGATCCAGAACCTGCACCATCACTCCTCACTCCTCTCCACCGCACTGCACCATGTCCCACCACCAGATCATGGCGTAGATAACAGACTTTATGCTCGTGTGACTGCCCGCGCCCACCATCCCTCTGGACCCTATCATATATGCCAGCTATACCTCTCCTCATTATGGCGATCTAAAACCTACGCCATCACTCCTTACCCCTCTCCACCGCATTGCACCCCATCCGCCACCAGATCATGGCGCTGATAGCGGACTTCATGCTCGTGTGGCTGCCCGCGCCCACTATCCCTCTGCACCCCGCGCTCGCCAAGGAGGCCACCGCCCTGCAGAAGTTTCTCGACACCTGCCCTGATAACGCGTTCCAGGTGAGAGGCGTTTTGACAGCGTGGGGGGGGGGGGGGAAGGAGTATGGCTGATGCTTGAATGATAACATGTTTCAGGTGGGAGGCCTTTGCAAAGCGTAGTGTGGTGCCCGGATAACGCCGTACCAGGTGGGAAGCGCGTGGAGAGCGTAATGGGGTTATGGGTGAGCGATGGTGGGCTAGAATGGTTCCCGAGCTTGAGGGTAAATGGTGGGTGGGCACTTTCCTTGCAGGAGCAGTTGTTGGGTCAAACCTTGGGTCAAGGAAGGAACTCTCCTTATGTAATTTCCTGCTTTTGCTTCCATTGAATGGTCATATCCGTGAAGGAGCGCACTCACACGCCACTTCTTCCCTCCGTGTGTGTGTTGCATTGCACTGTCCCAGGTGCCTGTGCGTGGCACTGAGTACACTCTCCTGCAGCGATTCATGGCTGTGCTGGTGAGTCCGAGCCTGATTCCTCTCCCACTGCTCCCACTGCTGCTGCTGCTTCCGCTGATGCTCTGGTGATCTTATCCCTCTTGTTGCTGTTTTTTTTTTTCACGTGAGACGTACCCCCTTTCCTGCCAAAGACTTCCCTCCTTCCATGCATCCACACAATGTGGGACCCCCTGTCCAGCCAACTTGCACCCCAATTAAAAAACCCCTTGCCTTCCTCTCCCCATCTGAACCCACTAACCCCAAATCACCTCACCAATCGCAATTGCACTACCTAGTCCTAGCTAGTCCCCATCTGCACTACCTTTCCCCAGACTTTCTTCCTCTCCAGTGGCAATCGCTCTCAACCACCATCCACTATTCCACTTACCTCCCGCTCCCCACCCATTTTCCTTGCTCGATCTCAGAGGAACGGAGCAAAGCTCATGGTTGTCGGGACAACCGCATCCCTGGTAAGCTGATGCTTCTCCCACTGCCTCGCCATCCCAATTTATACAGACGATGATTCCAGCTGCATCGCTTCACCACAAATGCCTCTCTTCACCGCACTTGCATCGCTTCACCACAAATGCCTCTCTTCACCGCACTTGCATCGCTTCACCACACATGCCTCTCTTCACCGCACTTGCATCGCTTCACCACAAATGCCTCTCTTCACTACACATGCCTCACTTTTGAGAACTCTCAGAAGTAGCTTCACCATGCCTTCACCATGCCATGCTTGGTCTCCAGCATTCACTCAACTAACCTTTTACCTCTGCCACATCCTATCCTTACCCCATGTCACTACATCCCAGTTTGGCTGTGGCATGACCAACGCTCTCCAATGGGAACTTGCTGCTCCCCGTTTGGCTGTGGCATGATACCATAGCATGTGTATTCCCGAACGCTCGTTCAACTAAACCTATATCTCTCTGCCAACCCCATGTGCTTGCATGCCCTCCCAGTTTGGCTGTGGCATGACCAACGCGCTCCAATGGGTGCGCAGGGAGCTTGCTGCTCCCCCGCCCGCTGCTGCTGCAGCCACAATCCCCTCCCTTGACCTCACCGCTGCTGCCTCTTTCCCTCTCGACTCTTCGGCTGAACTGGCTGCTACCCTAAACCCTGCTGCTGCCATTGACGCCGCCACGACTGCTGCGTTGGTATTGGACCCGTCGGTCGCTGCTGATGTGGCAGCTGCTGTGTCGGCGTCGGCTGCTGATGTGGCAGCTGCGCTGGCCACGGCTGCTGAGGTGGCAACCGCAGCTGCGGGGACCATTCCACCGGATCTGGAGGTGCCTATTCTCGCTACAAGCTTGGCCTATGGGTCCTATGCAGCGATTTCTGCAAACCTAAGGTGGGTTGTGATGCAGGAAAAGGTTGCGCATCTTCAAGGTTGTTCACAGGTGGTGTGTTGTCCATGGGTGTGTGTACCCACATTCTTCCCTCCTTTGTTTCATCTCATCTCATCTCACCTTGTCGTGTGCTTTCTCATTTATTACCTTCTTATATATATCAACTGCTTGTGAGTGCAGGTACCAGATATTGGCTGGTGTGATTGAGCAGCAATGGCTGGAGCCTAGATTCCATGGCAACAAGACTCTGCTTTCAGTGCTCTCCTTCATCTTCCGCACGTCCAACACGTTCATTGGCTCTCTCTTGTGAGTAACATCTTCTCCCAATGCTGGTGTCATGACAACGTATCTATGCCACGCCTTCCATCTCTTGTAAAGCGAAGAACCTGAAAAAAACAAAGTTGGGAGGCAAACTGGGAACTGTATGCCTCCCGTACCTGTGGTTTGCCTTCTTCCCACCTCCTGCTAAGGTTCTTCCAAACCTAACATCTTTGTGTTCACCTTGTTAAGTAATACATGCTGTTGGCGTTAATTAGCTTCTCGATTTGTTTTGCAGGTGGGTGGACTATGCAAGATGGATCGGGGTTCAGTGATCGTAGCGGACAAACTACTTCCATTTGCAGAGTCCATGTATTGGCATCAGTTTAATCTTATGTGAATCTTTATCTTCAGAGTTATGTTGGGGAATGCAACTAGATCAGCAATGTGAATAAATTGATGCCCTAAATTAGTTCACCACTTGAACATCAATGTGTGTTCCAATCTCTTACCAGTCAAATCATGACATAACGCGTACAAGACAGTGGTCCGCTTGACCACGTCGCTCAGAGTGACGTTCAGATCATCGTTTGAACTACGCTATCAACCATGGCTGACAGCGAGTCGTTGCCAGGACAGGGGAAGAAAGTCTGTGTCACTGGGGCATCTGGTAATGTCGTCTGTGGCCTAGCTAATTCACGTTCGAAACTATTTGAATCGATCGTCATGAATCATGACCTTCTTCGTGCGAAATTGCCCCAGGTTTCATCGGAAGCTACCTCGTCAAGCTTCTGCTGGATCGCGGGTATAATGTTCGCGGAACAGTTAGGGACGCGACCAATGAGGACAAGACGTCATGGATTCGCGATCTCGTAAGTTCGTATATCGTAAGAGAATGCTCAAACGATCCAGCACGAGCCTGAGTAACTAATGTGACCATCCTCTCCTTTTCTGACAGGCAGAGGGCACTCCAGGCAAACTTGAGCTCTTTTCAGCCGACCTGGGCAAGCCTGGGAGCTTCGACGAGGCCGTTGAAGGATGCGAGTTTGTGTGTCATGTTGCCTCTCTTGTTCGGCTTAGTGTGCCGAATCCGCAGACTGTTGTGGATGCAGCTTTGGAGGGCACGAAAAATGTGTTCTCTTCCATCCTCAAGCACAAAACTGCCAAGTAAGTGAGCTTAGCGATTTTGCGAACAGCTTTCAGTATCCCTTGCTTTGTCGTTTCCGTGTGCAGCATTCCATTCCCCTACCCTCTCACCACCACATCCTCCTCCCCGCCCCCCGCCGCCTCTCTCGTACATCACTCTCTTGCGCTCTGATTCTCTTTCTCCCTCTTCTCCTCTCTCCTCCGTTGTGAGTCTCCTCCCAAACCATTTTTTCCTCTTCCTGCCGATTGCTTTTGCCATTGTCGCAGAAAGGTGGTGGTCACCTCATCTGTAGGCGCAATTATTGACTACGTAAACAACAAGGACCATGTATTTACTGAAGAAGACTGGAACCGAGACCTTACTCTCAAAGATCCATACCCGATGGGTAAGACTCTTGCAGAGAAATTTGCCTGGAAGACCGCAGAAGATCTCAAAGGTCAAGATTGGTCTTTTGAACTGGTCACCATCTGTCCAGCCATGGTTTATGGTAAAGCCATTCGTAAGGCGCATGTTCGAACAAGCCTCGATGTAAGATACTCTGTATTCGCATTATGCTTCAAATTGTTGTCTTTGCGTTGTCTTGATTCTCTTTCCTGCTCATTGAAAATGCTTCCATGGGCTGTTCAGGTGATAAGGCAACTGATGGGTGGATGGCTCTTCATGGCCCCGGACCTGTATTTTGGCATTGTGCATGTTGACGATGTTGTGCTTGCTCATGCATTGGCACTGGAGAAGGATACTGCTACGGGAAGATATATTCTATGCAATGGCGACACTCTCAGCATGCTCGACATGGCAGGTGGGTTTGTTTACCCCACTGAACCCCCTGCCTGTATCATTTGTTTTTATTTCCAACGTGTGCTCTCATTTAAAAGGGCCACCGCGTCCTATGCAGGCTAACTACCAAAGGAGTGTTGTTGTTGAATGCAGCTGTCATCAAGAAGAACTACCCTAATGCCAAGACTCCAACGTACACCATGCCGAATGCATTAGCATATTTGGTCTCATTGGCCATCCCTGGAGTGAGCTTTGCGGTCCTGCGGCGAAATCTGAGCAAAATCCCCAGATTTGATAAAAGCAAGTCTGAGAAGGAGCTGGGACTGCAGTACCGTTCGTCCGAAGAATGCCTACTGGATACAGCTGCCAGCATCTTGAGCTTGGAAGGAAAATGAGTTTGGATGCTTGTGCTGTCACTGCAAATCGCAACTTAATCTGGCTGCAAGAAGATTCTCTCTCCTGTTATAGGATCTGTTCTGTAGCAATAGGAGCACTGATTTTTTCAGGTGTTTCCAGTCTGAGTGGCAAACAGTGGGCACTAATGTCTTGAGTACCATATGCAATGCCAAATAGAAGAACTTTTGAGAGCGCAGCAGCAGGCACTTGAATCTCCTGTACTGCACCACAACCGCAGCAAATGCCTCCTAAATTCTGAACGGGAGCTTGTGGCATGCCTACAATACAAATTGATAAACTTATTTCCAGGAACAAGGCATCCCATCCAACGTGATGACAAAAAAAAGCCTGCTTTGCATGCTCATTCCTTTTCCAGGAAATCATCCGCATCCAGCACAGCCCCATTGTTCTTCCACTGAAGCTTCTGGCGAATCCAGAGCGTGACATAAACGAGTCCAATGAGCACAGGCACCTCAATCAGCGGCCCGACAACCGCGGCTAATGCCTCATCCGAGCCAATGCCGTAGGACGCCACTGCGACGGCAATAGCAAGCTCAAAATTGTTGCTCCCTGCGGTAAATGACTGAGTGACGGCATCGCAGTAGGCGAACCCTAGGCGCCAGCAGAGGGCCAGAACACTGAAGAAGACGATTCCGAAGTAGATCAGGAGAGGCACGGCCACACGAGCGACCTGAAGGAAGGAAGCAATGGGGAGGGGTAAGAGAGAAGAGCAAGGGACAAGTGGATGATAATCTATTGACAGGATAATTGCATGGGGTCCCAGAGTGCAAACTTGATGCGTGAAACAATTCCAGAATCTGAAAACGAGCTGCATTGCTCAAGAAAGGGCTCCATGTCGATGGGAGCAGAGCAACAGAGAGCTCCGTACCTTGCCAATGTTGTTTCCGATGTTCTGGCCTTGCAGCGAGAACATGACAAAGATGGTGAAGAGCAGCCCGATGAGCGCCGTGGGACCGAACCACGGCAGGAACTTGTCCTCGTACCACTTGGCTCCCAGCAATGCGCGCAGCGTGAAGCGCGTGATGACAGCTGCGACGAGCGGCACTCCGAGGAAGATGAGCACGCTCTTGGCGACGGTCCAGAAGGACACGTCCACTGACCCGCCGTGAGATACCACGTCGATGTAGAATATGGCCAGCGGGGAGTAGAGGATCACCTGTGGTGGGGAATAAGGGAGGAAAAGCACTCCGAGGAATATGAGCAGATGAGGAAGATGAGCGCGCTCTTGGCGACGGTCCAGAAGGACACTTCCACTGACCCGCCGTGCGACACCTCGCCAATGTAGAATATGGCCAGTGGCGAGTATAGGATCACCTGTGGGGGAAATAAGAGTGGAGAAGGTGAGCAGATGGTGTAAGGGATTGGGGGAGGAGAAGAGGCGAATGGGGGGCGAGAAGGGACCTGCAGGATGGAGTTGAGAGCTACAGAATGGGGTGCAACAGCAGGCAAGACAGAAAGCAACAGCAAAACAGAGCAGGAGCACAGGCACAGGACAGGAACGAACGAACCTGCAGAATGGAGTTGACGGCCACGAGGATGGCACAGAACTCGGCGTTGCCGCCCGCCAGGTGGTTCCAGATGAGCACCATGGCGATGCAGCGCGCGATACCCACCAGAATGATGCCTGATCGCAGCCCTGCCTGGTCGGGGAGAGTGGCCCATGCCAGCCCTGGTGGTGGGGAAGGGAGCAATGGAAGGAGACAGAGTGGATAGACAAGGATGAGTTTGGTATGGATCATGGCTTGGAGCTGAGGGCTTGCTGTCGGCATGGAAAGAGCAACCCATGCCGGAAGTACCGCAATCAGTGAATAAACCTTGTCAAGTGCTTCAAGGCGCATAGAAGTGGTATGAATCGAAAGGGACGCACCAGTCATGAGCAGGGGAGCGAACACCCAGTTGATCGCCAGGGAGATGCCGATGTGGAACAGCAGGCCCCAGGATCGGGACAGCTTCGGCAGCAGCTCGAACCGAACCTGCGCATACAGGGAAGGAGAGGGCGGAAGTTGGGGTTTGAGTCTCAGGTTTGGATCCTGGGTTCGGATATCGTGTTTAGGGGTCAAGAAGGCACCTGAGTCGCAAGCAAACAAGTGGACTTCGGGTTTAACCCGACTTCGCTTGCTCCTATGACCGTTTGCTTGCTCACGATAGTCTCCCGACAAGTAACACTGCCTTGCAGAGCACGGAGTAAATAACCCTACTGTGCAAAGCACGGGGTAACTAACCCTACCTTGCAGAGCACGGGGTACATCATCCACCAGAGGCCAATGGCGATGGGGAGCGACACGTTGGCGACAGACACGGTCTCCCAGGCGTCGCGGATGGCCGGCACATAGTAGCCGAGTAGCACGCCGATAATCATGGCGAGCAGGATCCACACGGCCAGGTAGCGATCGAGCAGCGACATGCTTTGAAACACGGCTGTACGTTTTACAGTGAGAGAGAGCGCAAGCCCGGGGAGGGGGAAAGGGAGGGCAGAGATGGGCGAGAGGGTGAGCAGGGAAGCCCGGGTATGGCCGAGGCGTTGTAGCCGAGCAGCACACCGATAAATATAGCGAGGAGAATCCACACGGCCAGGTAGCGGTCGAGCAGCGACATGCTTTGAAACACGGCTGCACATTGATGCATGGGGAAATTGTTGAAACACGAGGAGGAAGAGGGGGTGGGTAAAGGGTGGGGGAGAGAGGGAGAAAGAGACATTTGAAAAGACAAGGAATTATGCAGGGATGAGGGAGCAGCGCCGAGAAGGTGCGATACGATGTGACATGCTGTAACATGACACGCTGCGACAAGCTGTGAGATGGAGCAACCCACCGGCGGCGGAGAGCTCCTTGACGGCGGGCGCGTTCTTCTCCTCCAGCGCCTCCACCACGCGGCACGCCACCTCCTCCTCGCCCTCCGCGCCCCACACCAGCATCGCGCGCGCCGAGTCCGTCCGCGGAACGGCCTTTCGTGGGGAACGGAGACGGGAAAGGGGAGAGAGGAGAGGGTACGGGGAGAGAGAAAATGGGGGTAAAGAAAAGGTATGTGGTGCGAGGGGGGTTCAACCCAAAGTCTGGGGAGACGGAACATGTAAGTGGGGAAATGCGGAATTGAGTGGAGACGGGGAGCACGTGACCCATATCAGTGGTAGAACCGGAAACTCGTGCCCTCGGCTTTGCTGCCCGATGGACGTGGTTCCGAATGACGTTCCTCCGTATGACGTACCTCGGACGGGCAGCAGCAGCTGAAATGCGTCGCGCCACTTCCCGCTTTCTTCATGGTAGCCGGGTACTCCTCCGTCTCGCCGGTGCTGCTCTTGAAGCGGCACCGCAAGCCCAGCTGCTGCTCGTTCACGCCAGGCTCCGACGACGCCAGCAGCGGCGGAAGCGTCTTATTTTCCGGCACGCATCGCACTTCCACTCCATGAACTACAGCCTCCGCCATTGCAGCGTGATGAGAAGAAAATCGCGAGCGGATCGCGTAGGCGCACGCCGCGGGGAGACTGAGACTCGATGGCAGCAAGTTGAGGATGTGTGAGGCAAAGCAACTGAAAGCTGAACGGCGAGTGAGAAGACGAGCGACTGTTGGATCGAGCCACGATGAGCTGGATCAAGCAGAAGTGTCCCGAGCGATTTTATAGAGGTGGTGGTGGTGGAGGTTGGTTTCATCAGCTTTTGGCGGCGCTGTCGCAGAGGCGGGAAGTCAGGGATGTACCGTAATCTCGGTAATCTCGACAATCTCGGGTAGTCCTGGTGCTTGGCAGAAAACATTTTTAGCGTAGACGAGAAATTTTTCACGTCAAGTATATGGAAGCTGATCCCCTCTCTAAAACCGGATGATAATTCCGCTATTACGTTTTAGAGCTTCTGGTCAAGCGGAGTGTTTCCAGTTTCAGTTTTTGCCATCGCTCAGATTTACCCGGAAATATGGGGTCGTACATGTGCACAGAAACACGCTTTCTGGTGTACTTCAAAAACTTGTATTCACCGTGGGGCTGTTTCGCATCCTTCAGACAGGTCCAGAGCATTATGAGTTTCCTGGAAATTCCAAGAAAAAGAATATTCCTTTTCTGGGGGAAAGTTGGAGGGGAGGGCAAGGTGGAATGCGGGGAGGGGGAAGGGGGTTGTGGGCAGGATGCGAGGAAAGGGGGAACATTGCGGAAATATTCTCTTTCATCTCTGCTGGGGAAAAGATTCCGGAAACGGAACAAGAGAGGTATTTTCAAGTGGTTTTCTAGGAAATTATGGCTGGTCTGGGACAAAAGCTACTTAGAGCCACGCTGGCGCTGCCTAAGAGACAGATTCAATCAAGCGGAGCCAATCAAGCTGAAAGCATTTGCGAGCACCATTTCCCGCACGTCTTTAGCTGACTCCTTGGGTGAGTCGTGATGGTTGCTGCCGCTTTTCTGTCGCCGACAGTTGCTTTCTAATAGCGCGTTAATTGTTTGTTAATCGACGGCTTCGTGACATGCGGCCGCAGCCTTCGTCGTCATCATTTAGTTGTCTCTGGAATTTGTTATGTCGGCTGGAGTTACTGAAGTCAAACACCACGCCACCTCCCCTCCCATTACTCTTTCCCCCGCTTATCCCCACATACGCAGTAATCAATCAGCATGACGAAGCGCGTTCTTTTCGTTTGCAGCCACAATGCGAATCGCTCGATCGCCGCCGAAGCGATCGCCCGCCATCTGCGGCCAGAGCTCCAAGTCGAAAGCGCAGGTACGGGCCAAATCCGAGCGGTATCAACGCGGTTGAGTGAGGCAACATTGAGAATTTTGAGAAGTAAAACGAGAGCATTTTTTTTTTCTAAGGTGTCATAATGGTTAACCGTACGAAGAATGAGACTGTTTATCGGCGATGAGAGGGAAAGTGAATGGTATGTGTGAGCATGAAGGAACGAGAAACAGGGTTGAATTATTCTAAGAACGGTTCTGGCTTCATACCTGAGCATTGAGTTCCAATGTTAAAAGTGAGGGGAGGGTTACCAACGTGTTTTTGAAGTTTTGACCCCTGATCTCTCTGACACAAATTTTTTGACACTGGATTCCAGTTGTACAGCTCTCTGTAGCACAGGGTTTAGGTAGCTTTGAGTCCAGAGTAGGTATGTCCAATTCACATTTCCAATCATTTCGTCAAGCTTAAACTGGATCCATGGGGTACAGACACGAGCATGCTCGGTTCTGGTGATACGTCTTCGTACAAACGAATGATGTTTATGTGCTCGTTGCTGTGCCTTTCGTCCAGGCGTGGATGCCGCAGGGAAGCTGAATCCTGTCATGATCGAGGCTCTCAAGACACGTGGCTATCCCACTGACCATGCACGCTCCAAGGTAGATAGCAGAAATGACTCACCATATGGAGCTCATGGGTTTCCATGCTTCAGGGCCATCTTCAGCATACGCGAAGTGCATCTTGAAAACCGTTGCCTGATTCTTTGCTGGTCTTTCACTGGTTGCAATCCACAGGGTATTGCAGATGAGACGATTGGGGGTCTGGAGAACAATTGGGATCTTATCGTCATGATGGGCTGTCTGGTGAGTTGGTGTCATGATAGTCTGTTTGGCCAGGCTCATGATGTATTGCGCGGGTTTCAGGAAATATGGAAACACGCATTTTCCGGTTGCATTCCCTGGGACCTCGTACTTTTAGTCTGTTTTGCTAAATCGTTCTGGCCACAGGATGGTTGTTTCATCATGCCATGATTCTAACCTTAGTCATGTTGCTCATATTCTGCTGTTTTCCCCCACTATCTAGCACATTACTCTTATCCTGTTAAGCCTTTCCTCGTTTGTTATCCTACCTGCAGCCGAACCTACCCAAGGTGGATCTGCCTGAGACTACTACTGTAGAGGATTGGGGTCTACCTGATCCTGCTGCGCACCCGGAGTTGATGGATTCTGTCATTGAAAGGATTGTGGAAAAGGTGAAAGCTATCTAAGCTTGCATCCATGTACCTTCATTCATATTGCGCTGAGTTATTGCCAAGTAAATGAAAAGCTTTTATGAAGTATGACTCTGCTGTTATATTTTTTTTTTTTAGCTGCCTGCTAGTGTAGCTTCTGTGTAGTGTTGCTCTTGTTGGTGGTGCACCATCTTGCCCACCTTGCTCTCACTTGTACCTTATTTCTAATCAATCCATCTCTTTTGTCAAGGCACTCGCTCAACACTCACCCTTCCTAGCTAAACCCTGCCACTAAGGGTACGTTCCTGTGGAGACACTTGTGTCTCAATCCTTTTGTGACGCGTAAAACCAGCTTATAACGTACAATGTCACAAACGCGTGTCGCCCTTGTGCGACTTTTAATGTATTTTTCATTTGTCAGCGTGAAACGCGCTGATGTCGCGGACGAGTTGCGTATCGACCCGTCATTGTCAACAACTCTGTACGCGGTTCGAAATGTCAATGCACCTGGACATTCCATAGTAAAAATCTCGCGCGGGAAAAAGTTCAAGTTCCGCTCGTCAAAACACCACCCGAACCAGATAGTTGAAGGAGCAGGTGTTCAGTCAAGTTTGAAATCCAATCAAATGAGCACAGCTGTAAATTTCGCCTGGTCGCACAGTTTCGTGATACACTCATTTTTTGTGACGCGAGATTGCAAAAATGTGTAGACGCGACTCGGAAAAAAGGGGATTGAGACACAAGTGTCTCCACAGGAACGTACCCTAAGGTGTGAGTTATGAACCCATTTTGACATCTGCAACTCTGACAACATTCAGGATTCTTATTCATGTGATCTGGGGTGCGAATATGCTGTAGGAAGAACTACTGGACCAGATTGGTACTGGTACGGAAATAAAAAAACAGAACCATTAATGGATTCATTATCATTGGACTCTAGGGTTTAGGGTAGACTACCAGTGGTCCAATAAAAAGGACCACTGGTACTCTGTAAACCAAAGGAGCGTTGGATCAGCTTGTGCAGTCGGCAAGTATGAAGCTCCCAGACATGCACCAGCCGGCAAGCAGATTGGAGTTGAAGTCCTGCTTATGGAAGAGGGGAGAGAAGGGAAGGGAGAACAATGGAGAGGAGAAAGATTACGGAAGTGTAGAAGCAAAGGGTAGTGGCCAACATTGAAAAGCTTCTTGCTTCTGAGTCACCACAAAAGAAAGCGGCCGAGCCGAGGTGGCTAAGGGTTTAGCCCAGCAGAGGGCAATGAGGACCAGCATCTTGAAGCTCAGGGCGTATCTCAGTTTGGGTCATAGAAGCTCACTCCGGGTCATAGAAGCACTTTGGGTCATCCGAGAACCAATAGCATTCCAACAGTGTAGCTGAAATGCGCCCCATTGGTCGCCCATTTATCTCGGATGACCCAAACAGTGTCTATGACCCAAAGTGAGATAAGCCCTCAGAGATAATTTTCTCGTTTGAAGGACAGATCGTACGCAATCCCACCCCCTTCCCTCCTGCACTGCTAGGTGAGCACTGAGCACCCCTGTCATTCACCAGGGCAGTTCATCCGTAATAACTTGATCACCAATGTGACTCACCCTTGCATTCCCCACTGTGACTCACCCTTGCATTCCCCACTGTGACTCACCCTTGCATTCCCCAATGTGATCACTCACTCTCACAAGGCCACACCAGGCACTGTCTCCTTGGAACGACTGGTGCAAAACAAACCATCGCAATTTCCCTTGGGTAGCCCTCCCACACTCACCCTCACAATGCCACACCAGGCACTGTCTCCTCGGAATGACTGATGCACTCGCGATGCCCCTTTGCTCCCCTCCCCTGCTGCTTCCGCTTCTGCTGCTGCTTCTCCATCGGCTTCCCTGGCCCCTCTGCCTCCCCCTCCTTCTCTCTCTCCCAATCCTCCTCCTCTGTCCAACTCCATCTCCTCCTCCCGGTGTGCACACCCCACATCCTCTTTACACACGCCCTCTCTGCCATTCTGTTCCTCTCTGTTCCGCTGCTCCCTGTTCTGATGCTCCCTGTACTGTTGATTCACTTTCTCTCTACTTGGCTGCGCCCTTCCCCTCCCCCCGGCCTCAATCCCTCCCCATTCCCCCCCCTTGCCCCCCCTTCCACTCCCCCCTTTACCCCTCCCTTTCTCTGCTCTTCGCACCCCTCCCGCCCTCCCCTCGCCTTCAGTCCACCTCCCACATACCACCTCATTATCACCGCTCCACACAAACACAGATTCATCCGATTGAAATGAAAGACCCTCCAGTCCCTCTTGTCTCGCTTCCTCTCTCTCGCCACAGGCCACAGGGAAAGCTATTCCCATCACGTCCTGCCGAACGCAGCCGACCCATCGGCCTCTCGCCGCCCATTTGCGCACGTCGTACACAGCTACAGTGCGCTCGGCCCCTCCTACTGCCACTAAGCCTGTTACCGAGCCTGTTCCCGAGCCTATTGTCGAGGCTAGGGCGTAGAGAGGCTCGGCAGCGGGAGAGACGGTGATTCGCTGGATGCAGCCACCGTTTTCAGCGGCCCTCTCGTCCCAGATGCTGAGCTGGCATGATGACATGGCATGGTGACATGGCATGGTGACGTCAGACGTTGGTGCTAGGAAAATTTCAGACAGAGGCTGCCGGCATGAGTTGCTAATTCAGCGTTCAACCATGTGGTGATGCAGGCTTGCTTACATGCATCTGTATGTGAGCTGTGCTGAGCCATGTACATGCCCCCCCCACCACCCCACATGCACGTGAGTCCCCACAAACACACAATTGAATAATCGAACCACACCTCACCGCACAAAAGAGACAAAAGAGACCCCAACCCACACACACCTGAGGCCCTTCGCACACTGCCAGCAGCCTCACCCCTTCAACCGCATTCCCCTCCCCCTCCCCTTCCATCTCCCCTCCCCTCCGCTTCCCTCCCCTTCTGCCCCGCTCAGTTCCCCCCAGGAAGCCCACAGCAGCGGGGGGGAAGGGCAGGCGGAATGTGCGCAGGGGGGAAGCGGGGGAGGGGGAAGCAGGGTCGTGCAGGTCTACTAATCGGGGGAAGAAACAGGACGTAGCCACCTGGTGCGGGGAGAGAGAGGGGGGGGGGAAGAGGAGGTGATGTGGAAGAGGGAGGGGAAACACTTTGAAGCTGGGGAAGTGGAGTCTGCGTCGTGCAGGTCTAGAGAGAGGGGGTGCAGGGGGGAGGCTAGTTTTGAGGTGCCTCAAAACTAAGACGGAAGTAAGAACTGGTGCAGGGGGGAGGCTAGTTTTGAGGCGCCTCAAAACTAAGACGGAAGTAAAAACTGGTGCAGGGGGGAGGCTAGTTTTGAGGCGCCTCAAAACTAAGACGGAAGTAAAAACTGGTGCAGGGGGGAGGCTAGTTTTGAGGCGCCTCAAAACTAAGACGGAAGTAAAAACTGGTGCAGGGGGGAGGCTAGTTTTGAGGCGCCTCAAAACTAAGACGGAAGTAAAAACTGGTGCAGGGGGAAGGCTAGTTTTGAGGCGCCTCAAAACTAAGACGGAAGTAAAAGCTGGTGCAGGGGGGAGGCTAGTTTTGAGGCGCCTCAAAACTAAGACGGAAGTAAAAACTGGTGCAGGGGGGAGGCTAGTTTTGAGGCGCCTCAAAACTAAGACGGAAGTAAAAACTGGTGCAGGGGGGAGGCTAGCTTTGAGGCGCCTCAAAACTAAGACGGAAGTAAAAACTGGTGCAGGGGGGAGGGGGGCAGGAAGGCGGGGAGAGGGTGAGTCAAGTGGAGTCAACCGAGTCAATCAAAGTCAAGTCAGAGATGTTGCAGGGGTACATAAACACTGTACTTTACACAAACACAGTGTATGTAAATATTCATGGCGCGCATACACTGCACACATACCATGAAGAATTACACATCACTGTACACTGTACGTTTACACTGTACACTGTACGTTCACACTGTACACTGTACGTTCACACTGAACCACTGAATATTTTTTTGCTGTACCACTGTATTCTTCTGGGTCGAGAGCCCTGTGACAGAGATGGCAGTGCAGCATAGTCCCCTCCCCGGCTCAGTGACGCCGCAAGGGGCAAACAAACACCTACACGATACATTTTGATTAAAGTACACTCAGTCTCAGACAGTACAATGGTACGTGAGCCATACCCAAAGGGTGAGGGTCCTGTGACTGAGATGGCAGTGCAGCACGGGCCCCGCTCAGTGATGCCGCAGGGGGAAACGGACACTTGCACGGTACAATCAAAACGTACACTGACACACACAGAGCACAATGAGCACTTGGTACGTGAGCCATACCCGGATGGTGGAGGGTCCTGTGACGGAGATGGCAGTGCAGCATGGGCCTGGCTCAGTGATGCCGCAGGGGGAGGGGGCGAGGTGGCAGAGGGAGTCAGGAGTCACTGCCATGTGCGGGGCGATGGGGGAGATGGGGGGAAAGGGAAGGGTGGGAGGAAGATGGCAGAAGCATATGAGCAGCATGGTCCCAGTTGGGAACCAACGTCCCGCAGTGGAAGGGGAGAGGTGGCCGAGGGAGTCGAGAGGCACTGCGATGTGTGAGGCTATCGATGGGAGAGATGAGGAGGATTCGCAGAGACGAGGAAGAGTGGGAGAGTGGGAGATGGAACCAATAGTTGCTGCTGCTGAAACGTGGGGGGGGGAGAGGGGAAGGGAGGGGAGGGGAGGGGAGGGGGGGAGGGGTGGAGAGCAGCAGCATGGTGGCGTGCACTTGTCTTGGCCAACCAAGGAGATAATGCAAGTGACAATGAGAGCTTGAAAAGGAAAACGAGAGCTGAATTGGTTGACTCGGTTGACTCGGTTGACGATGCTGACTTACCAGATGAAGAGGAGAAGGTGGAGACGATGGCTCGACCAAGTGAGTCCACAGAGGAAAGGAGAGTGGCGGCTGGAGGCAAGATTGGATAGGGGGAGGAGAGAAGGGTGTATGAGGGAAGGGGAAGGGAAGTTGCCAAGAGAATAGGGAAAGCAAGGTCATGCAAAGAGAAGTCAAAAGGGGGGGAGAGATGAAGCCATGGCAGAGAAGAGCAAAGGTGGGGGCTCTTGATCGAACGAGTTTGCATAGATATTTTGTTTGTGCTGTGGCTACTAAAATACAGGTGAGCCATATGCTCGTGCGAGAGAGAGTCAGATGTAAATGAGCAGATGCGCTCTTCCAGTTCTGCCTCTCTGATCCTCTTGAGCCTGACACATGTAAGCCACGTGTTGCTCATCAGCACCACTCCTGCTCACCTGCTCGCCCTCCGGTGCCTCCCAGGGCCGCAGATGCGAGGCTCTGCACGGGCAGTGCGTGCAGGAGAGAGGGGACAGACACTGGTGTGACGTCCTGAAGGGGAGGAAGGGGGGGAGGGGGGGACACGGGGAGGGGGATGGGGAGGGGGATGGGAGGGGAGAGGAGAGGTGGGGAGAATTGGACAAGCAGCATGATGTGATTTTCGAGACGTCTCCAGAAAAGGTGACAAGTAGCATGGTGTGGACACGTGGCATGGAGAGGTGGTATGATGATGAGGCGGCATTCATATGATGGAAGCAGAAACTTCCGGAATCCCACCTGAATGGCTTAAACCAACTTGAAAAAAGATCAATGTGAATAAACAAGGTCAAGTGAACAGGGTAAATCAACTTACCCGAACAATGTGCATAACAGATCCCACATGAACAGTGTCAATCAACAGAACCCACCTCGACACGGTGCGGCAGAAGCACCTGCGCCTTGCCCTGTTGCAACAAATTCTCCTGGCCTACTGGCATTTGACAGTGATACACCTGACGTCCAGATGCAATGTACGCGTCACACACGCCATCCCTAGGAAGGAATTGGAGGAGGGGGAGGAGGGGAGGGTTGAAGAGTGCGGGAAATACGCGGGTGGGCAAAGGGCACTAGCGAGGATCATGAGAGACGCAGTCAGAGTGGAAAGAGTTGTATCGCAAGTCACGGGCCCGCACGGTAAGCGATTTCTCGCCTCAAATCAACGTTGCCATGTAGTAGCTAAGAAAGGAGATTCCCGGGGACATGTTCAACGAGCCAGGAATGCGACGCGGCAGGCTGCTTTGAGTGCGACTAGGAACGGACGTACCGACGCGAATGTGCCTGGAATGCGACGCGGAAGGTGTACTCGGCGTAACTCGCGGAGGGGTTAGACTGCAGGAGCAAGCGAGCTCTGATGACGGAGCGCGCTGATGGCGCCATGGAGGCTGGTGCTGCTCAATGGTGCTGAGGTGATCAACAGAAAGGTGTCGGGGCTATTGATCTAGCTATCCCCGTTTGTGGCTAGGAGCAGTGCACTTTTCAACTAAATGTAAAAATGTAAGATGTGCACTGCAAAGCATGAGGGGAGTTGTTGAGGCATTTTAACGAAACCATATATTATTGACGCTAACTAGATACTGCGATCCCCTAACCAGCCACACAATAAAGATCTAGGTTAGTCTCTTGGAACTGCCTTGATAATCTTCACATCATGGATGGGCCTGCACAGCACAGCACCAAGCGAAGAATCGGAGTGAGGTGAGGCGAGACGGCGCAAACCGGCGGAGACGGGAAAAGTAAGACTGACACAAAAGGACAAAATCACGAAGGTCAGAAAGAGCTCTGCATCACCCACTAGCGGGGAAGAGTACTGGGTTACTGTGCATGCATGCAAGAACGCATCCCATTCCTGCTGCATCACCTGTCAGTCCTGTCGGCCTGCACGTTGCCCAGCCGTTTCAGCACGTCCATTCCATGCGACACACGACCGAATATTGTGTGCTTGCCTGCAGTGCAACAAGAGAGTTGAGTGAGACAGGACAGGATATAGCCAATCTTCTCAAATCTTCTGTGTAGTGCATTTGAGGCGTTGAGTGTTGAATCTATAATTGTTGAGGCAGTTCTGAAGTGGTGCGAGGGTGATCAGTGAATGCACCATCAAGCCAGAGAGTAAGGATGACAATATTCAATCCACTCGCCATCGAGCCAGGGAGTAAGGACGAAGGAATTCAAGCCACGCACCATCGAGCCAGGGAGTGGGGGCGAGAGTGAGGAAGAACTGGCTGCCGTTGGTGTTGGGCCCGGCATTGGCCATGGACAGCACACCGGCACCCGTGTGCTTCAACTCACGTGTTATCTCGTCCTCAAACTTGGCTCTGGGCCGTGGGGGGACACAACAGAAGGGTTGGGAGTCAGGAGGAGAAGAGATGACTGGGGTCAGTGATATCGACTCCAGAGGTGGCTCAGGAACGAAAGTTATGTGATTGGGATGATGAGAGGAGCAGTGGAGAGTAAGGTGACTCTGATCTGAGACCTAAGGACTTCGGAAGTGCAACGGAGAGGTTGAACACATAGCCATGGACAGTGGGATGCATGTCACTCCACCCAACACTTTCCTGGCTTCCTTACACCCAGCGAACCTTAAGGTGCCTAAAGAATCACTCACCCATAGATGGACTCGCCTCCTCGTCCAGTCCCTGTGGGATCACCGCCTTGAGCCATAAAATCCTGCCAATGCACAATGCAGAAGTGACGGGTGAATCGGAGAAGTTAATGTTTCAAATGGCAGATATGAGCTTCTGCTGAAGCAGCAGTATTGGTCACAGCAGCAGTGACTGGAAACCGACGGAAACAATAAGATAATTGCCACCAAAACCTTGTCTAGGGTCCAACGCTAATCTCGGCCCCTGCAATAGTCTACAGAATTTAAGCATTGCTTAGTCACCAGCCGGAATGGTGCCAGATGGACTTGATCACTCAATTTGCAGTTCCAATAAACAGCTCACCGTATCTCGCGCTGCCAGCTCACCTTAATCACTCGGTGGAACTTGGTCCCATTGTAGTACCCTCTCCGTGAGAGCTCTAAGAAGTTTCTGCACGTCTTGGGAGCGTGCTTGTGGTACAACTGCACAGTGCTTCGCAAGGTGATTTGGAAAGGGTGCGGACGAGGAAGGAGAACCGATGCATTATTGGTAAAAGCACATGTTTAGGGAACGTATGAAATCGGAAAGAATACAAATTTCGGATTCCTCAAGTTTGGCGCAAATCGCCAAACGATAGTTATATCAATACCGGCGGCCGCTACGTGAAAAATATATATTGTGACCGACAAAGATGTACTCTTTGCCACCCTCAATGGTAACTACGCTCAACCTATAACCTACCTCGACTGTTATTTGTCCCATTGTTGTATCCAGCACCACTTCTGGTGCTGCATCGTCGGCCATATCTCCTTCCGCAGTCTACGATATATTGCGACGAGCGGCAAAGGCAATCCAAGCCAGTAAACGAGCTTTATTGATGGAGGGCTGAAGACAGCCAAGGCACGGAGCTTGGAGCAGGATCTGGTCACACATGAGTTGTACGAATGGGTGGAGCGAGGGACTGTACCTTGGCATTTCCAGTTTCATGCTAGGCAACACTGTTGACCCCAGGCTCGTACAGGTCGTCCAGGTTTCATCAGGTTACCATCACAGACATGTACTGTACTGTTTGAGAAGCAGTTGTGTTACGAATTCTGGCACTCAACCCTGAGTACTGTACTCGTGCTCGAAGTGCATTCTGGCTCGGCTTGTACAAATCACCTGTCAGCGATTTCGACTCCAGTTCGCAGTGCAAATATCCTCCCTCCTCGTCACGCCCAAAAATTCAATTCCCCATCTAGCCTCGAATATTCCGCCTTGATATCACTTGGCACGAGATACTAGCTGGCAGTGCCTTTTTTCCCTCGTTTTGCCTGCACCGAACCACTCGTCGATGTTGATCTCTCCGAATCTATCAGTTTCGATTGTTCATACCTCGAAAAGCTTCGTTCTTTGCGTTTCCGTGTGCTATAGGCTCTCATAGTTTCACGACGAGACTATTACAATTTAGAGATTGCCGTTTTCCCACGAAGGTATTCTCTCGACATCTTGAACCCGGTTTTTGCTTACAGTCTTGGACCCGTGATTCGACCCACGCCTTCTCCACGCCCACAGTCGGAACTTGCCAGCTTCCCTCCTCCCTTATTTTTTAGGAGCATCTAATTACGCATCGATAATTTCCAAGGTTCACGATTTGCAAACTAATTAGCATGGCGAATCACATGCACCACATTCCGCCTCGAACGGGTTCACCCTCTCCTGCATTGATTAAGCCGACCGAATGCACCTTGCCAGGATCGTGAGTACTGCTGCCAGTGCGCGACATGACAGGGGTGGGCTCACTGATTGTTCTTGGCTGCTACTCTGGACCCGCTTCTGGCGAATATGAAAAGCTAGCTCAAGGAAGTGTCATTGTTGCGAAGCATGCTACGTTCTCTAGCCTCTCTTTTTACTCCTATTCCCAGTCCTCCACAGTTGAACCCTCCTCGCCTCACCATGGCTCCTCTCATCTCTTCCTTCAATGAGAATGTCCGTCCGATGCTGGATGCGATCGACAAGCTCCGGCTTCTAGGTCTCAAGGAAGAGGGGATCGAGCTCCCAACGATCGTTGTGGTCGGTGATCAGTCCAGCGGCAAGTCCTCCGTTTTGGAAAACCTGTCTGGAATCAGCCTGCCGAGAGGCAAGGGAATTGTCACTCGAGTGCCACTGATCTTGAGGCTCCAGTCATGTGTGAAAGGACAGGAAATGATAACGATCGAATACACCCCCCTTACCGGTAAGGTGTCCAAAGTCTTGCCTGATGAAGAACTGATTGAGCAGGAGATTTCCGAGGCGACTGTGGCCTTGGCTGGGAACCGGAAAGGCGTGATGAATTGCCCAATTACCCTGCAAGTGCAGCGCCCCGACTTACCTGATCTGACGCTGGTGGATCTGCCTGGAATTACACGTGTTCCTATTGAGGACCAGCCGAAGGACATCTACGACCAGGTTAAGGCAATGATCATGCATTACATTACTCCGGAAGAGAGTGTAATTCTTAACGTTCTTGCAGCTGAGGTGGATTTCACGACATGCGAGTCCATTGTGATGTCGCAAGAGGTTGACGAGGATGGAGATCGCACCCTGGCTGTCGTCACCAAGGTTGATCGGGCTCCTGATGGCCTTTATGAGAAAATTCAAGGAAATTCGGTGCGGATTGGGCTTGGCTATGTGTGTGTCCGGAACAAGACAGACGCTGATGCATCTCATGACGATGCAAGAAGGGCGGAAGCTGCTTTCTTCAACAACCATCCTGAATTGTCCCAGATTGAGGCCCATTGCCTCGGAATTCCAGCCCTTGCTCAAAGGCTGACGGAGATTCAGGCCAAGAGGGTTGCAGACAGCATCCCAAGGATCAGACAGGCCATTCAAAAGGCTCTTGTTGGTAAGGAGTCTGAACTTGAGATTATCCCGTTTGCTGCCACCTCTAACGCTTCAGCATTGGGGATTGTTTCTTCAACGATCCAGAAGAGACGGGACATGATGAGTGGTGTCATCGGTGGGAAGTATGGCCCGTTTCAGAGTGATGATGCGATGCACTATGCTGCCAGGCTGCATGAGAAGTTCAACAAATTCGAGGTGCAGATGAGGGGTGTCCTTCCGGACTTCCTTGGAACCGACTACTCTGAAAGGTGTAAAGAAGCTTTGAAAGAGGTGGCTGGGATTTCGCTCCCAAACATGTTTGACCAGGCTGTGGTGAAGCAGCTTGTCCAGGAGGTGGTGGACAGTGTTGAAGGGCCGTGCTTGCTCCTAGTGAACGACTGTTTCGCCTATGCAACCGAGGTGCAGCAGGCTGTGGCATCACACATCTGTGGGATTTACCCTGGGCTGAACAACGTGGCTCACCTTCAAGGCCTCCATGCCCTGAGGAAGGCTAAGGAGTCAGCAAGCCGTTTCATTCAAGACATGCTGACTAAGGAGAAGAAGGTGATCTTTACGCTCAACCATTACTACATGGACACGGTGTCTCAAATCCATGTGAAAATGGCCGAATACAAGAAAGGGCAGCCTGGTAGCTCGGAGCAAGGCCCCCCTCCTATTCCTTCTATTGGAGACTTCGCCTCCAGCACTGCTTCACTCGCCAATCTGATAAGCAACGACGACCAGGCTGCGAGGGATCTTCAGATCAACATGTTTTCTTATGCCAAGGTGATGCACAAGAGGTTGTGTGATGTGATCCCCATGGAGATTCGGATGTGCCTTGAGAATGCTCTCCTGGATGGCATTGATGGTGCTGTGTGGCGGGAGATTCATGCTGGAGACATATCTAAGATAGCAGCCCTGAAGGCTGTTGATCAGCAGCGTAGGGCTCGACTGGAGGAGAGCATAAAACGGCTGAAGGCATCTGAAGCCACGCTGCTGTCACTCGCATTTGATGTTCCTGGTTTGCTAGCCTAGTCTGGAAATGCACTGTCTCGATTGCACGTCTGTCTGCTTCACAACCTGTTTGTACTGCTGCCTATTATTTCTACTTGAGACTCCCTGCTGAGAAATTATGTTTAATTTCCCAAATTAGTGTTGTGTGCTTAGTCGGACGCGAATGGGTGGGCAATGGTCAATTTGTTGCTCTCCGTAAACATATCCGTAAAAGAAAATGGCGGAGTTAGTCATAGCGAGGAGCCCTCCACCAACAGCCGCCACGCGAGATCATATGCCACGTGTTGAAGTGTGACTCAGCAACAAGCCCATCGCTGCGCTTCTTTCTCCGCATGGATGTCCAGCTCCAGCGAATGCATACATGCCCGCTTAGGAGTCACACCCAAAATCGAGGACTAGTCATAACGACTCCGCGAAATTCTGGGTGTACTATCTTCGTGACTTTGCTTTTCTGACGTGTTTTTCTCAACCACTTGTGCATCCCTTTCTATATTTGCTAATCTGTATTGCAAAAAAATCACTCAGTTGTACCTACCAACCTAGTCGGGTTTTGCATACACTTTCACTCTATTTCCAGAGCAAAGACAGAAAACTCCTTGCCACCGTTCGAATGTTGTTGAAACTTGCAGCTAGCAAGCACAGCTGTGAAGTACACAGGAGGACCGCTTCATAGTTGAGACGACGGTCGTGATCACAACTATCAGACCGCATCCTTATCGTTCGTATTCGTCCACTGTCGTCGTCGTCGGTTTTTCTTCTTTCATCTCGCGTTACCTCCATCTCTCTTCCCCGCTTTACTCTCCGGCGTCGTCCGCATTCTTACGACCTGCGAACTGTAACGCGTCGCCTTGCGTCGATCCAGATTCGATCCTTCCAAACACCTCGAGAAGCGCTTCCCCTTGCCGTCTCGGTCCAGTTGCTTGCTTTTCCTGGCGGAGCGATCCATTCTCCCCCTGTCGCCTTGCGTTCGGCGAGATCTATTCGACCTCGATCACCTTCCATTCGGTGGGATCCATTTGATCTGCGTCGCCGTGGGTGGTTGTGCGATCCAGTTCATTCGACCTCCGTCGCCTCGTCGCGCGTTGCGGTGCGATTCAGTCGCGGGAATGCAGTCAGCGGTCGGGGCGAGCAGCATGTCCAGCCCCTCCAGCCAGACCGCCAGAATGCATCCGCCGATCCGACTGGGATCTGCTAACAGGTGAGTCTATAACGTGGACGCAAATCAACTTCGAGTCTTTCCGCAGTACAACCGACAGACAACGGGGAGAGAAGAGGGAGGGGGCGTGGGAAGGGAGGGAAGGGAGGGAAGGGAGGGAAGGGAGGGAAGGGAGGGAAGGTAGGGAAGGGAGGGAAGGGAGGGAAGGGAGGGAAGGAGGAAGAGGGAAGAGGGGAGGAGGGAGGGGGAGGAAACAACATAACTGATCCAGAGGAAACAACATAACTGACCGAGAGGAAACAACTTGCGGCGGGTGCTGAAGACAAAACGGCGTCTGTTTGTCGCGAGCTTGCGAAGGATCCTCATAAGAGAGGAGCCGAGTTTTGGGTTGAGAGAAAGAGATAGATAACCACAAGAAAGAGGTGGCGTGCATGTTTTTTTTTATTACCTGGACATCATAAACAAAGCAGAGGAAAGCCATGTATGTGCGACGACAGGAGGTTTACGAAAGCAGGGAGTTATAGCTACCTAGTTCAAGCTTCCTTACTGAATCAAGCAAGCGAGTCTTAACACTTGCTTTTTCTCTCCTCGCCCGCCTCCCCACAACGTGTGTGTGGAGTCATGTAGCATTTGTGCAGCATTCCTCCGCGTATTGCGTTACGTGTCCCCTTAAACCTCGCCATTGCATTTTCAAACCCTTTCTCCTCGGTTCATAAACCCTCGGTACTACGCCCCCCCCCCTCCAACCATTCCTCTTTCGTCACTTTCCTCCCTCCCCGCTCTTTCTGACTAGTTGCCGCTTAAACCCTCCGCCAATGTAAAGTTCCATTTCTCCTCCCCCCTGTCCCCTTTTTCATCCCCTCCACCCCTCCACCCCTCTCCTCTCGCTCGCCCCCTCTCCCCACGCCCCCTCCCTCTTCCGCGCAGTGCTCCCTTCCAGTTGCGCCCATCCCAGTTCCCACCACCCCCAGCCATCAACCTCCAACCGCCGCCTTGTGGCGCTACGAGCAGAAGCTGCCACGTGTCCAACTTCTTCCCCGTCCCTCCGCCCACAGCGCGCCAACACCTATCCAGATCCGCCCGCGCATCCGCTCATTCTTCCCCCGCGCGCCCGCTTCCCCCGCTCGTTGGCTGTAGCGCCGCTGTAGCGGACAGAGCGGGCAGGAGAGGGCGGAGAGGGCGGGTCAGGGCTGGGAGTGGGTGGGCGGGCGTGGGGAATGGGGAGAGACAGCAAGAAATTGATTCGGAAGAAGGGTGGGGTGAAGAAGAGCAGAGGGATGGAGGGGATAGGGGTGGCGAGGAAAGGGAGGAAGGAGAGGAGTGGGAAGGAGAGGAGGGGGAGGATGATCTGGTGGGGGGTGGATCTATTTCGCTTGATAACGGGGTGAGTTAACATTCCCTTGCCCTCTCCTTTTCTTGCTCTCTCACTTTTGCCCCTTTCTTATTCCTACCAATCCAGCCCCCACCCCATCCACCTTCTACTCTGTTTCACTCTGTTGCCCCTCCCTCCTCGCACATCCCTCCTTTCTCGAAAGGTCCATGTTTTTGGATAAATCTGGAATTACAAGCAAGCAGGGTCAGATGTTTACTTGGAATTATTAGTAAGCAGATATGCAAGAAAACACTCGCACACACTCTCCCGCGCTTTCTCGCCACCCCTGTCAGTTTCAGTTCTACTCATCGGACCAAGGCCCTTCAAACCCGGAGAACCGAGCAGCAGAATACGCAGCAGCAGCAGCAGCAGCAGCAGCAGCAGCAGCAGGAGCAGCTTCAGGGGTAATCTCAGGAAGTAACAGCAGCAGCAGCAGCAGCAGCAGCAGCAGCGCCAGCAGCAGCAGTGACAGCAGCAGCAGCAGTGGCAGCAGTGGGGGAGCCAGCGGGGGGGCGGGGCTGTACCGAGTGCCGGTGTCGGGGGGCGTGCAGAGCGCCACTGCCTCCCACGGGCTGCCCTCGCCTGCTGTTGCCGTGCGCAACCTCGTGGAGCAGGTGAGACGGTGGTGTGTGTGGGGCCAGGTGGTGTGTGTGAGGAAGGTGGTATGTGGGGCAGGTGGTATGTGGGGCAGGTGGTATGTGGGGCAGGTGATATGTGGGGCAGGTGGTATGTGGGGCAGGTGGTATGTGTCTCGCAACCTGGTGGAGCAGGTGAGATGGCCGGTGTGTGTGTGGGGCAGGTGGTGTGTGGGGCAGGTGCTTTGTGGAGCAAGCAGTATGTGCCACGGGCAGGCTGTCCGCGTCCAGTGTGTGCATGCGGGACAGGTGCTACTCCAAGATTGTATGTGCTTGCCAAGACGAGATAAAAGTGTAGTTTTGAGACGTCTCAAGACGTCTCAGGACGTCTCAAGACGTCTCAGGACGTCTCAAGACGTCTCAGGACGTCTCAAGACGTCTCAGGACGTCTCAAAACGTCTCAAAACTACACTGTCCGCGTCCAGTGTGTGCATGCGGGACAGGTGCCACTCCAAAAATGCAGGTGCTTGCCACGATTCAACCGTATGTCAAGGCACCTCCCCCCCATGTCCTCTTCTTTTTTGTTCCCCCTGTGCACCACACAGGCGCGCTTCGCCCATCTGTGCAGCATCATGTCGCGCATGCACCACCGCCGCAAGGGCTACCCGTTTGGCTCGCTCGTCGACTTTGCCACCGACGACGAGGGCCGTAAGTGGGGAGGTTCAAACTCAAGGGCCATAAGTTGTTCGTTGGGTGAAGCCTCCTCGTGCATACCTACGGAGGCTCTGCTCTGGGCTCTAGTTCGTTGGGCTTCCTTGCAGTGAAGAAATTTGATCTGATTCTCGAGAACTTTTTTTTTTTGGGGGGTGGGGGGGTTCCAAAATAAAGTGAACCAATTTGTAGCTCATCCATTTCCCTTTATTAAGTAACCTGAAACTGGAATTTTCCCTTAATGATTTGGTTTGTTCGTCCACCATTTCTTTTTTTAAAACAGAAAAAATTCATGTATGTGTATTGTCTGCTTCTGCTTCTCTGTGTGCAGATCCCATATTCCTCCTCTCGCCTCTCTCCATACACACGCGCAACATGCTTGCAGACCCTCGCTGCACTCTTGTTGTTCAGGTAACCACTCGTGCATGCCATCGCTCACCATTCTCATTCTTTGTATTCCACTCTCCATCTCTTTGCTTTCGCAGACACGTGTTTTTTCCTGTGATTTTTTTCTTTCACTCAGTTTTGCTGCTGATTGACCCCCTTTTGAGACGTATCAAAACTTTTGACATTTGAGACCACTCAGTTTTGCTGCTGATTGAGCCACAAATCTCAGGGTGGAGCGGGCTGGCCAATGCACGTGCCACCAAGTTTTTCTCCTGTGCTGCCCTCCCAGCAGCAGTGGTCTCAGGCTACTATACAGCTTCCACTTGCTCAGCTTGCTCGACGCTCAATCTACTCTTGGGTGCATCCCCCCTTCCTACACTCGTGCCCTCCACTCCCCCTCCCTCTCCCAGATCCCAGGGTGGAGTGGGCTGGCCAACGCACGGGCCACCATATTTGGAGACGTGTATCCGGTGCCGCCGTCCCAGCAGCAGTGGGCACAGCGCTTCTGTGAGGAGGCCCAGCCTTTCAGCCGCCCCAGTCAGCCGATACACACGTCTCAGCAACCATGCTTCCCACCTTCCCCTCTCCATCCTTTCCCTCATGCTACCCTCCACTCCCCTCCCCACTCTACCAGATCCCAGGGTGGAGTGGGCTGGCCAACGCACGGGCCACCATATTTGGAGACGTGTATCCGGTGCCGCCGTCCCAGCAGCAGTGGGCGCAGCGCTTCTTTGCCCGCCGTCACCACCACGGCGCCGCCCAGATGTGGGGCAACTTCAGCTACTACCGCATGCAGCAGATCTGGTAGGGTTACTAGCCCCTCTTGGGTAAGTCAGGGTTTTAGCTATGCAGATGTGGGGTAACTTCAGCTATTACCGCATGCAGCAGATCTGGTTGGGTTACCAGCCCCCTATGGGTTAGATAGGGTTTTAGCCATGCAGGTGTGGGGCAACGTCAGCTACTACCGCATGCAGCAGATCTGGTAGGGTTGTCGCACAGGTGTGGAGGAGCTAAGACTACCCTTGTGTTTTCTTTAATTTTGCAGACGTTTCAAACCCACTTCCTCTCTTTTTATTTAAATGTGCAGTGACATCTATTTCGTGGGCGGCTTTGGCACGGTGGCGTGGATTGATGTGAAGGACTACCTTGCTGCCACACCGGATGCCATCGTGCTGCATGACTCTGAGGCCATTCTGCATGTGAGTTGGGGATGGGGGGTGGAGGGAGGCTGTTGGGTGCTGGGTGGGTGGATGGATGGGTGGGTTGGTGGGTGGGTGGGTGGGTGGGTGTGTGGGTGGGTCGGTCCGTCGCACACACCTTGCTGCCACACCGGATGCCATCATGCTGCATGACTCCGAGGCCATACTGCATGTGAGTGGGGGCGTGGGTGGGCGGGGGTGTGACATGACACACTACCATGATGCCACACCGGATGCGATTGCGCTGCACAACACCAAGGGCACATCGTGCGTGAAAGAGGGATGGGGTGGAAGGCACAAGGGACTGCCAGTGGGCTGCATGTGGGTTGTGAGGCAGGAGCAGAGCAGAATGTACAGCTGGGTTGGGGTTTGATCTTGGGGTTCGGATCTTTATGGGCTTCGAAAAAAAAAATAAAAAAAATCAAACAAACAAACAAACAATCCTGTGCCTCCCGTTGAGCAGGAGTTGAACGTACGGCTGGGATCGGATCTGAAGCGCCAGCTGGCGTCGATCCTGCCGCAGCCTGTGGACGATGCACTGTTCATCAGCATCGACGGCAAGGGTGTTGACATCCGTGTCCGGCATGGCGCTAAGGTGAGTGGCTGCTGTTGGCACGGCGCTAAGATATGGGGCGGAGCTATGATTGTGTAGTGCTGTTGGTGCTTCCTGTGGGGCCAAGGTATGGCGTTGCTGTGGGTTTCTTGTGTGTTGTCTGTGCTTCAAACAAACCCCTCTCCCCACCCCTTCCCCCCATCTTTCCCCAACCAGTTCAATGTGCAGCGGCTGTCATTCAGTGCATCATCGGAGGTGCGGGACACAGAGGAGGCCGTGGCAGCGCTGCACCAGGTGCTTAGCCAAGGCGTCACCCCTCTCTCCAACGGCATGCTGCAATAACCACCCATCGCATCCATCCACACGCCCTTTTTGAGGCGCGTAAAAAAAACCGCGCCAAGGCGTCACGCCTTCATCCAATAGGGTACCCTGATGATAAATCCACACCCCACCTTGCACGCACATACAGGCACATGCTAACACCATGGATGGCAGCAGGTTTGGGTGGCCCTTCCAATCTGCCATTCGGGGTAGTTGCTTTGCTGCTCGATTAGAAATCCGTGCCATGGTTGGCAAATTTTGTTGCATTCAATCAAGCGATGGGGATGATTTTGGAAGAACCGCTCTCTATCGCTGCTTACGTATTGGTGTAACTTCTTATTAATGCTGTTACGCATGGGTCACCAACTTTCTTTCACGCATGGCAGTTCTTGGACAGGTGAAATATTGTGAAGTGTCATGGAGGGTGAACTGATGCTGGGATTACGGGTATCTTGAAAAGCCGCTTGGTCCATTCTTGCTTTATGTATATGGTAGTGCTACGATTGATGACCTGGGAAAGGATTGCAATTTCCAGCAGAATAAAGCTTTTGCTGTGGCACACACACACGCAAGCACCAGCCAATACATGGCTGCAGGAACTTTTCAGACGAGGCAAGGCTGGCTCACACTGGAGGTCAACCCACTTGACGAGCGAGTGCCAGCCGGAGGTGTCACGACGATCATGCAATGCTGCTCGCAAGAGCCTGCGCTGTGCAGCGCTGCATGTGCGGTGGGGTGGGTTGAGGAGGCAAGGGGGTGAGGAGGAAAAGGGGTAGTGAGGGAGGCGTGGGGGAGGTTGGTTTTGTCATGGCCCATGCAGGCAAGAGGGGAACAGTGTGTGTGTGTGTGTGTGTGAGAGAGAGAGAGAGAGTGTGTATGTGTGAGTGTGTGTGTGTGTGAATGTGTGTATGTGAGTGTGTGTGAGTGTGTGTGTGTGTGTGTGTGTGAGTGTGTGTGTGCGTGTTTGCGTGCGTGTGTGAGTGCGTGTGCGCACGTGCACGTGAGACAAGCCAGAAGAGCAGGGCAAGAGCGAGCAGCGTGGGCCATGCAGGCCACGCCATCATGGTAGCGCCACCAGGTGCTCAGGGCCCCCATGTCGCACACGGGGTACCCCCGTCACCCGCGCCGTGTGTGATGAGTCTAGTCAACTGAAAAATAGACTCATTCGCTAGGTCGCACACGGGGTACCCCCGTCACCCGTGCCAAGAGCCCCCTGTATTGCCTCGGACTACGCCTCACCTCAGGTCGCGTGCGTTCATGGCTGAGAACACGTCTCACCTCAGGGACCGGAGCAACAGGAGCGAGCAGCCTGGGCCATCTTTGCTGCCCCGTCGTGGTAGCGCCACCAGAGGCTTGGCGCCCGCAGTTCGCACATGGGGTACCCCCATGCCCTCTAGGTGCCACCACCACCCCCTCATGAAACACTGTCACATGCACGCCTCAAGCACGCCTCACCTCAGGAACGGCTGTGACAAGAGCAGGGCAGGAGCGGGCAGCCTGGGCCATGCGTGCCACCCCATCGTGGTAGCGCCACCAGCGGCTGGGAGCACCCAGGTCGCACATGGGGTACCCGCGTGTTGTCAGCCCCCTGTAGTGCGCGAATCTCGCCACGTCCGTCGGCAGATCCAGGCCGTCCATATCGCCGCCGATGATCACGTGGATCTGTGCGAGGGAGGCGCGGCAGACAGGGGGGCGAGGGGAGCATGTCGGGCGAGGTGATAAAAGTTGACTTTTGAGACGTCTAAACAAAAAAGCCAACTTTTATCACATTTCACGGCCCATGATGACATGTCACGGCCCATGATGACATGTCACGGCCCATGATGACATGTCACGGCCCATGATGACATGTCACGGCCCATGCTCACATGGATCTGTGAGAGGGAGGCGCGGCAGACGGGGGGACGAGGGGGGCATGGGGCGAGGGGGGCATGGGACGAGGGGGGCATGGGGCGAGGGTGAGTAGGGGTGGGAAATGAACTTGGCCTGTGATGGACTCACAAGGAAACCCGGCGTGAGGTTGAGGGGGAATGCATGGCAAAGATAAGGAGGACTTTGAGTCAACTCAAAAGCCGTATCATCTCGTGAGGTTGAGCGGGAACGCACGGGGGGGGGGGGGAGGAGTAAGGTGGACTGCACTGACTGACCTGAGCGAGGGAGACGCGGCGCGGGTTGAGGATGTACTTGCGGTGGCCGAACTGGTCGAGGCACAGGTGGTCCGGGTAGAGGGATGTGTTCATGCAGTAGGCGTGCGGCCACTGGGACCGCACCCCCTCCACTATGAACGGCCTTGATGGCGCCACGTCACCACCAGAGCCCCAATCCCCCCCTCCTCCTCCTCCACCTCCCCCTTCCCCTCCCTGTTCCCCCTCCCCCTGCAGCAACCTCCTCTTCATTCTTCTCCTTGCCGTGCCGCCATTCTCCTCCACCTCCCCCTTCCCCTCCTCTGGGTGACTTTTGAAGCGCCTCAAAAGCCCGCCTTGTTGTTCCCTCTCTCCCTGTTGCCCCTCCCCCTGTAGCAACATCCTCTTCATTCTTCGCCTTGTCGTGCCGCCATTCCACGGCTCCTCTGGGTGCCTTCTGAAGCGCCTCAAAAGCCCACCTTCTTGTTCCCCCTCCCCCTGTTGCCCCTCTCCCTGTTGCCCCTCCCCCTGTTGCCCCTCCCCCTGTAGCAACAGCCTCCTTCTTCTCCTAGTGGCGCCGCCGTTCCACGGCTCCTGCGGGCGGCAGAACGAGCTGTTGAACACCGTGCACCCGAACGTGATCCACGGGCGGCCGGCGTTGTCCTGTAGCAGCTGCTGGAGCGTGGCGGGCGGCAGCACCTCGACAAACTCGTCCAGGTCAGCAAAGAGCAGCCACCGCGCCCCGTGACGATTCCCGTACAGGCAGTCGTGCGTTGATAGAGCCTGAGGGGTGGGTCGGGGTGAAGGGCGGTGAAGAGGGGTGTGGTGTGCTTTAAGCACCACGAGGAACTCGTCCAGGTCAGCAAAGAGCAGCCACCACGCCCCGTGGCGATTCCCGTACAGTCAGTCGTGCGTTGAGAGGGCCTGAGTTGTTGGTGCGGGTGGGGAGTTGGTAGGGGTGCGGAGGGATAGAGAGGGGTGTGCTTGAAGCACGTCGACAACCTCTTCCAGGTTGGCAAAGAGCAGCCACCACGCCTCGTGTCGGTTGCCGTACAGACAGTCGTGCGTGGAGAGGGCCTAAGGAGGAGTCGGTGGGGGAGAGGGAGGGAGGGGGTGAAATGTCAGTGGGGGTGGTGTGGGTCAACTAGGCAAGAGCAGCCAGTGCGCCTTGTAGTGGTGGCGGTTTCAGGCAGTCATGCGTGGAGTGACCCTAAGAAGATGGTGGGAAAAGAGTGGGGGGTTCAGAGCGGTAGAGAGGGGTGTGTGTGTGTGTCAACTGGGCGAAGAGCAGCCACTGCGCCTCGGGGCGTTTCACGTACAGGCAGTCGTGTGTTGAGGGGGCCTGATGCATGGAGTTGGGGGTGGTGGGTGGGGAAGGCGGGAAAATAGAGCGTCAACCAGGGTTGACGTCAGCATGGTCCGCCACGCCGCCCGCGTCATACAGGACGAAACGGTCCACCGGCAGCAGCAGGCGGTGGAAGTGCAGCCACTCGGTGAGCGCCCGCTGGCTGATAGCGCCAAACATGGGCGGCCCGCACAGGACGATATTGTTGGGGAAGGTTGATGGGTCCTCCATGGGCTGTGAGAGGGCACATGGGAAAGGGAGAGAGCGTGGAAGCACAGCCACTCGGTGAGCGCCCTGGAGCTGATGGCGCCGAACATGGGCGGCCCGCACAGGACAATGTTGGCAGGGAAGGTTGATGGGTCCTCCATGGGCTGTGGTGGTGGGGAGGGGGACATGAAGCACGGGAATGGGAGTGGGGAAAGGGAGAGAGGCGAAATGGGAGTGGGTCCTCCATGGGCTGTGGTGGTGGGGAGGGGGACATGAAGCACGGGAATGGGAGTGGGGAAAGGGAGAGAGGCGAAATGGGAGTGGGTCCTCCATGGGCTGTGATGGTGGGGAGGGGGACATGAAGCACGGGAATGGGAGTGGGGAAAGGGAGAGAGGCGAAATGGGAGTGGGTCCTCCATGGGCTGTGGTGGTGGGGAGGGGGACATGAAGCACGGGAATGGGCTGTGGCGTGGGTGAGGGAGTGAGAGACATGGGTGGAGATGGGGAATCATACGCAGGAGTGGGAGAGCGCTCTGGGGCTGGCAGCGGCAAACATGGGCGGAGGGCTGGCAGCGCCAAACATGGGCGGAGGGCTGGCAGCGGCAAACATGGGCGGAGGGCTGGCAGCGGCAAACATGGGCGGAGGGCTGGCAGCGGCAAACATGGGCGGAGGGCTGGCAGCGGCAAACATGGGCGGAGGGCTGGCAGCGCCAAACATGGGCGGAGGGCTGGCAGCGCTAAACATGGGTGGAGGGCTGGCAGCGCCAAACATGGGCGGAGGGCTGATAGCGCCAAACATGGGCGGAGGGCTGGTAGCGCCAAACATGGGCGGAGGGCTGGCAGCGCTAAACATGGGCGGAGGGCTGGCAGCGCTAAACATGGGCGGAGGGCTGGCAGCGGGCGGAGGGCTGGCAGCGCTAAACATGGGCGGAGGGCTGGCAGCGCTAAACATGGGCGGACCCGGGCCCACTTAGGATGATGCTGGTAGGGAGGAAAAGGTGGAAGGGTCTTCCATGGGCTGGGGAGGGGAAGAGTGGGCGAGTGGGGGGACATAGGGAGGGCGTGGTTGAAAGGGGGCCAGAGTGAAGGGTGAGAGTAAGGGAGCTCCTACTCTCTCACCTGCTCTCACCTGCTCTCACCTGCTCTCACCGTCACCTATCCTCACCTGCCCTGGTGGCTCCACGAAGGGGAACAGCACTTGCCCGTCGATCCTCGCCTCCAACACGCCCCCTGACGCTTGAGACGGCATGTCTGCTCTCAAACCAAGCACGGGCGCAACTAACAGCACCTACCCCAACCTAACCCAACCTATCCTCACCCATCCTCACCCATCCTCACCTGCCCCGGCTGCTCCACGAAGGGGAAGAGCACCTCCCCGTCGATCTCCGCCTCCAACACGCCCCCTGACGCTTGAGAAGGGGCGTCCAGCACACACAGCAGCACCACTGCCTCGTACTGCCAAGGGAGAACGGGGGGGGAGGGGATGGGAGCGGGATGGCAGGCAAAAGACTTGATTGGTTGAGCTCTGTGGTGTTTAGAACATGCGAGTGTGATGGGTACATGCGTCCAGCACACACATCAGCACCACTGATTCGTACTGCCAAGGGAGAACGGAGGGGGGGGGAGAAAGCTCAGGCTGAGTGGCGTTTGAGGTGTCTGAATTCGCATGCAAATCACACAGCCGCACCACTGCCTCGTACTGCCAAGGGAGGACGAGGGAGAGGGGGGGGGGGGGGCGTTTGTTGAGCTACCTTGGTGCGACCTTGGCAGAGGGCAGAGGGGAATTCCCAAAAGTCGCACCAATACAGGGGGCAGAGGGCGTTTGTTGAGCTACATTTTGGAGCCTAGATGATTGTGTCACGTCCAGCACACATGGCAGGCAGCACAGTTCTCACAATTTCGTGGAGATTGAAAGGGAGAGAGTGGGGGGAGAGAGCAGCAAACAAAGAGAGAGTCTTCAGAATGCGGTGTGTGTGGGCTTTTTCGAGTCAACTACAAAAAGGGCTAGGGAAGAAAAGATGGTTAGCGGGAGGGAGGACGGATCGAGAGAGGGAGGCAATTCAAGGTTCACACACACATAACTCCGTCTCTCTTGTCCCTTCTTCAGTCCCTTTCTTTCATGGTTGACTGAAAAAGGGACGAAGGAGCGAGGACGGGTAAAAAAGGAAAGAGCATACTTCTTCAATAGATGGATGAGGAAGGAGAGGACGGGTAAAAAAGGAAAGAGCATACTTCTTCAATATATGGATGAGGAAGGAGAGGACGGGTAAAAAAGGAAAGAGCATACTTCTTCAATAGATGGATGAGGAAGGAGAGGACGGGTAAACAGAGACAGCAGAAAGCAGAAGAGAGAGAGAGCAAGAGAGGTTTACCAATGATGCTCTTCCGCACGCAACGATTCTTTAGGCGCCTGAGAAGACGATTTCTGAGGTGCCTAAAAAATCAAAAGCAGAAGGCGGAAATCAAGAGAGGGTTACCAGGTAGTCGTGATGCTCCTCCACATAAGGCGGCACCAGCTTGCCTTGAGTCACGCCCCCACCAGCAGTGCCAACTCCCCCATTGGCAGCAGCAGCCGGGGCGGAAGCATGCCAGCGGCAGGAGGTGAAGCGGCGGCCGTGGTGCATGGGGAGGGACGCCAGGCCCAGCACTGCCACTGTGGACGCATTCACGCGGTAGGCGCTGGGGAGTGGGGAGGGAGGGGCGTGGGTAGGGCAGAGGAAGGATGTGATGGGTCGGGGGAAGAAGGGGCAGGTGACCGTGACTTGACATGGGTTTTGAGGCGCCTCGAAACTCGTCTCATTTCATGTGGGGGAGGGGGCAGGGGAAGGACGCAGGAGAGGCAGCATTGTGTAGGTGCAGCTGATGGTCATAAAGTGGTGTGAGTCGATTTTTGAGTCGACTCAAAACCGCGTGTAGTGAGTCGATTTTTGAGTCGATTTTTGAGTCGACTCAAAAATTGAGTCGACTCAAAAATCGACTGTCTACCACTAAATGGGGGCAAAACACAAGTTAAACCTCGCATCAAACCTCCAAATGTGGTGTGTACGAACGACCCACTGGACCCCACCACACACCTATCACCTGAACCTAACGCATGAGCAGAAATGCATGAACTGGGAGACTTATGAGTCGACTCAGAACTAAACCACATGAATGAGCAGCAACGCGTGAGCTGGGTGGGCCATACGCAGGTTGCCTCATTCATACCCACCATCATCACCACCTCTCACTGCTGCCCACCATCACCACCTTTCACCTAAACTTGATGAATCCAAACCAGCCGTGGCGCCAGAAGTGTTTCCAGCTGACAGTGTTTTGTGATGACTCAGAACACGTGCGGCCAGCCTCCACTCCTCTCTTGAGTCGACTCAAAAGTCAACTCGCTCCTCCACCCTCCTCTCCCCTCGTCTCACCTGAACTTGATGAAGCCGAACGAGCCGTGGCGCTGGAAGGACCGTTGCTTCCACAGTGACGGCTGATCATCCGCCACCCAGAAGTGCATCAACGCCTCATGCCGCCCTTTCTGCCACTGCTCCGGCCGTGCCGACTCCCCATCCCCGTCGCCCTCCTTATCCCCCCCTTCACTTGAAGGAATTCCATCCTTGCCAACCCCCTGCTGCTCCTCGTTGCTTCCAGAAGCTTCCTGGGTTCTTGCAAGGGAAGGAAAGAAGACAGAAGATGCATTTATTAGGCGCCTCAGGAGTAGAATCCCTTTCCTGCAGAGAAAGATTAAGGGATGGAAGGGGCAAAGGCTTGAAATTCAAGAAGGTATACAAAGTCTCTTCAAGAGGGGGGATGGAATTCCGAATTCCCACAACTTCTCCCAGCCCATTCCAACCCACCTGCACCGCTCGCACTTGCGCCTCCAGCTTCCTTGCGTGCTGCCCGACAATGTCTTTCAGCTGCCCGACGTCCTGGCTCATGGCTTTCAGCCTGCCCTGCTCGTGCTGCCACCAGTCCGCCACATCAGCAGCTGCCCGTGCGCTGTCCTGCTTCGTCTGCAGCATCTCCAACCCCATCTTCTCCAAATCCTCTGCCACCTGCCCCTTCAGCTCTTTCCTGCTCTGCTCCAGCAGCTCTGTGGGGAGGAGGAGAAAAGTAAAGGACATAACAAGCACAGGAGGGGGATGAGCAGGGGGTAGGTTGCTTGCTGCATCTCCTGCTTCGTCTGCAGCATCTCTATCCCCATCTTCTCCAAATTCTGTGCCACCTGCCCCTTCAGCTCTCGCCTGCTCTGCTCCAGCAACTTTACAGGAGGAAGAGAGGTGCATCAGAGGTACAAGTACAGGGGGGTTATGCATTGGGGGGTGAGAGAAAGGAGGAGAAAGGAGGTTTGCTGGCAGCTGCTGCATCGTCAGCAGCAGCCCGCGCACTGTCCTGCTTTGTCTGCCCCAGCTCCAATCCCATCTTCTCCAGCCCCTTTGCAAAAAGAGTAGTTTTGAGACGTCCCAAAACTACTCTTTTTACACGCAGCCCGTGCGCTGTCCTGCTTCGCCCGCACGGCAGCATCTCCAACCCCATCTTCTCCACCCCCTCCGCCACCTGCCCCTTCAGCTCTCTCCTGCTCTGCTCCAACAGCTCTGGGAGCGGGAGAGAAGGACAGACAGAGGATGATGCTTTTGAGGTGGGGTGGGATTGAGGAGGCGGTTGGGTTGGGACTCTGCAGCACAATGCGACAAGCATTCGTCTGCAGCATCTCTAGGGTGTTTTTGAGAATTCTCAAAAACACCCTGCGGTTGGGACTCTGCAGCACAATGCGACAAGCATTCGTCTGCAGCATCTCTAGCCCCATTTCCTCCAGCCAGCCCGTCACCCACCTGCCCCTTCAACTCCCTCCCGCTCTGCTCCAGAAGCTCTGGGTGGGAAGGAGAATCGGATGGGAGTTGGCAGCAGAAGCGGGGAAAAGGGGCAAGGGATGGTTGTCTTTTGAGTCGACTTGACTTCTGAGTCGACTCAAAACTGGGAAGGAGAATTGGATGGGAGGGAGTTGGCCGCAGAAGGGGGGAAAGGGGGCAAGGGATGGTTGTTGCAGCTGCTCCTTCGTCTGCAGCATATCTATCCCCATCTTCTTTTGCCCCTCTGCCACCTGCCCTGCCCCTTCAGCTCTCTCCTGCTCTGCTCCAGCAGCCCTGGGAGGATCAGGGAGGAACACAGGAGGCGCATTAGAGGCGCAGGAGGGAGATGTGTATGAAAGAAGATGGGGATAAGCCCTCCTCCTGCGCCATCTCCTCCTGGACTTTGGAGGTGAGGGGTGGGGTGTAGAGAAAGAAGGAAGCGAGATGACCCATTGGAGCACAGTTCTTTTGAGGCGCCGAAAAAAATGGCCCATTGGAGCACAGTTCTTTTGAGGCGCCTAAAAAATTGGCCCATTGGAGCACAGTTCTTTTGAGGCGCCTAAAAAATTGGCCCATTGGAGCACAGTTCTTTTGAGGCGCCTAAAAAATTGACCCATTGGAGCGAAACAAATGACCCATTGGAGACCCATTTGTTGGTGGCATCTCAAGACCCACTCGTTCCAGGCAAGTTCTGATCATGGAGTGTATGTATGACGTGAGTAAACTACAAATACGATACAAGTACCCACAAGCACACATCATGTAGACTCACTGTGCAATGAGAGGACGTCACTGGCTGTGTGGGCCAACAGTGTTCGGTAGTTGAATTGGTGGGCCCTGCTCTGATGAGTGATTCCATGCATGCACATGCACATGCACATGCATAAACATGCACATGCACATGCACATGCACATGCATAAACATGCACATGCACATGCACATGCATAAACATGCACATGCACATGCACATGCATACGCAACAGGCAGTGAGGGGCACATGTGGAAAGAGAGGCAGATGCAGAAGGATGGTGAAGAAAAGAAAACAACAACGGACACTCCTCTCGCTCGACTCCCTTCCCTTAATAATCGCCTCACCCCCCTTACCCTCCACCTAGGTTACTTGAAGGCACCTCAAGCACCTGAGAACCTGAAGGCAGCAGAAGGCACCTGAAACACCTGAAGGCACCTGGCTAACCTGACGCAACGTGAACATTCAGTCTCACCTTGGTCGACTTGCTGCCCACGAAGTCGTCCTGTGGTAACCGCATGGGCCCCAGCTCCGGTAACCACATCAGGTACAGCTGGCGCAGTGGGGGGAGGGCGAAAGGGCGAAGAGGAGGGATGGGAAGGGAGGAGCGGAGGGATGAGAAGGGAGGAGCAGAGGGATGAGAAGGGAGGAGCGGAGGGATGAGAAGGGAGGAGCGGAGGGATGAGAAGGGGAAGGAAGTAGGCACGTTGAGTCAGCGACGCATGTGTTGCGTGGCAAGAGTGCTCTTGCGTAGGGATGTCATGCGGCAAGGCGGTTCATACGGGGCAGGCAGGGCGACAGTGCAGGGAGGGCCACGGGGCAGGGAGGGCGACGGGGCAGGGCGGGCGATGGTGCAGGGCGGGTTCTAAGGTAGAAAGGGCATGAGGCGAGGAGGAATACATGGGGTAGGGAGGCACGAGGCAGGGCATGGGATAGGACATGGGGCAGGGAGAGAGGGGAGGTGGGGCAGGGAGAGAGGGGAGGTGGGGCAGGGAGAGACGGGAGGTGGGGCAGGGAGAGAGGGGAGGTGGGACAGGGAGAGAGGGGAGGTGGGGCAGGGAGAGACGGGAGGTGGGGCAGGGAGAGAGGGGAGGTGGGGCAGGGAGAGACGGGAGGTGGGGCAGGGAGAGAGGGGGAGGTGGGGCAGGGAGAGACGGGAGGTGGGGCAGGGAGAGAGGGGAGGTGGGGCAGGGAGAGACGGGAGGTGGGGCAGGGAGAGAGGGGAGGTGGGGCAGGGAGAGAGGGGAGGTGGGGCAGGGAGAGAGGGGAGGTGGGGCAGGGAGAGAGGGGAGGTGGGGCAGGGAGAGACGGGAGGTGGGGCAGGGAGAGAGGGGAGGTGGGGCAGGGAGAGAGGGGAGGTGGGGCAGGGAGAGACGGGAGGTGGGGCAGGGAGAGAGGGGAGGTGGGGCAGGGAGAGACGGGAGGTGGGGCAGGGAGAGAGGGGAGGTGGGGCAGGGAGAGACGGGAGGTGGGGCAGGGAGAGAGGGGAGGTGGGGCAGGGAGAGACGGGAGGTGGGGCAGGGAGAGAGGGGAGGTGGGGCAGGGAGAGACGGGAGGTGGGGCAGGGAGAGAGGGGAGGTGGGGCAGGGAGAGAGGGGAGGTGGGGCAGGGAGAGAGGGAGGTGGGGCAGGGAGAGAGGGGAGGTGGGGCAGGGAGAGACGGGAGGTGGGGCAGGGAGAGAGGGGAGGTGGGGCAGGGAGAGACGGGGAGGTGGGGCAGGGAGAGACGGGAGGTGGGGCAGGGAGAGAGGGGAGGTGGGGGCAGGGAGAGACGGGAGGTGGGGCAGGGAGAGAGGGGAGGTGGGGCAGGGAGAGACGGGAGGTGGGGCAGGGAGAGAGGGGAGGTGGGGCAGGGAGAGACGGGAGGTGGGGCAGGGAGAGAGGGGGAGGTGGGGCAGGGAGAGACGGGAGGTGGGGCAGGGAGAGAGGGGAGGTGGGGCAGGGAGAGACGGGAGGTGGGGCAGGGAGAGAGGGAGGTGGGGCAGGGAGAGACGGGAGTGGGGCAGGGAGAGAGGGGAGGTGGGGCAGGGAGAGACGGGAGGTGGGGCAGGGAGAGACGGGAGGTGGGGCAGGGAGAGAGGGGAGGTGGGGCAGGGAGAGACGGGAGGTGGGGCAGGGAGAGAGGGGAGGTGGGGCAGGGAGAGACGGGAGGTGGGGCAGGGAGAGAGGGGAGGTGGGGCAGGGAGAGACGGGAGGTGGGGCAGGGAGAGAGGGGAGGTGGGGCAGGGAGAGACGGGAGGTGGGGCAGGGAGAGAGGGGAGGTGGGGCAGGGAGAGACGGGAGGTGGGGCAGGGAGAGACGGGAGGTGGGCAGGGAGAGAGGGGAGGTGGGGCAGGGAGAGACGGGAGGTGGGGCAGGAGAGAGGGAGGTGGGGCAGGGAGAGACGGGAGGTGGGGCAGGGAGAGAGGGGAGGTGGGGCAGGGAGAGACGGGAGGTGGGGCAGGGAGAGAGGGGAGGTGGGGCAGGGAGAGACGGGAGGTGGGGCAGGGAGAGAGGGGAGGTGGGGCAGGGAGAGACGGGAGGTGGGGCAGGGAGAGAGGGGAGGTGGGGCAGGGAGAGACGGGAGGTGGGGCAGGGAGAGAGGGGAGGTGGGGCAGGGAGAGACGGGAGGTGGGGCAGGGAGAGAGGGGAGGTGGGGCAGGGAGAGACGGGAGGTGGGGCAGGGAGAGAGGGAGGTGGGGCAGGGAGAGACGGGAGGTGGGGCAGGGAGAGAGGGAGGTGGGGCAGGGAGAGAGGGGAGGTGGGGCAGGGAGAGACGGGAGGTGGGGCAGGGAGAGAGGGGAGGTGGGGCAGGGAGAGACGGGAGGTGGGGCAGGGAGAGAGGGGAGGTGGGGCAGGGAGAGACGGGAGGTGGGGCAGGGAGAGAGGGGAGGTGGGGCAGGGAGAGACGGGAGGTGGGGCAGGGAGAGACGGGAGGTGGGGCAGGGAGAGACGGGAGGTGGGGCAGGGAGAGACGGGAGGTGGGGCAGGGAGAGACGGGAGGTGGGGCAGGGAGAGACGGGAGGTGGGGCAGGGAGAGACGGGAGGTGGGGCAGGGAGAGACGGGAGGTGGGGCAGGGAGAGACGGGAGGTGGGGCAGGGAGAGACGGGAGGTGGGGCAGGGAGAGACGGGAGGTGGGGCAGGGAGAGACGGGAGGTGGGGCAGGGAGAGACGGGAGGTGGGGCAGGGAGAGACGGGAGGTGGGGCAGGGAGAGACGGGAGGTGGGGCAGGGAGAGACGGGAGGTGGGGCAGGGAGAGACGGGAGGTGGGGCAGGGAGAGACGGGAGGTGGGGCAGGGAGAGACGGGAGGTGGGGCAGGGAGAGACGGGAGGTGGGGCAGGGAGAGACGGGAGGTGGGGCAGGGAGAGACGGGAGGTGGGGCAGGGAGAGACGGGAGGTGGGGCAGGGAGAGACGGGAGGTGGGGCAGGGAGAGACGGGAGGTGGGGCAGGGAGAGACGGGAGGTGGGGCAGGGAGAGACGGGAGGTGGGCAGGGAGAGACGGGAGGTGGGGCAGGGAGAGACGGGAGGTGGGGCAGGGAGAGACGGGAGGTGGGGCAGGGAGAGACGGGAGGTGGGGCAGGGAGAGACGGGAGGTGGGGCAGGGAGAGACGGGAGGTGGGGCAGGGAGAGACGGGAGGTGGGGCAGGGAGAGACGGGAGGTGGGGCAGGGAGAGACGGGAGGTGGGGCAGGGAGAGACGGGAGGTGGGGCAGGGAGAGACGGGAGGTGGGGCAGGGAGAGACGGGAGGTGGGGCAGGGAGAGACGGGAGGTGGGGCAGGGAGAGACGGGAGGTGGGGCAGGGAGAGACGGGAGGTGGGGCAGGGAGAGACGGGAGGTGGGGCAGGGAAGAGAGGGGAGTGGTGGGGCAGGGAGAGGAGGGAGAGAGGGAGGTGGGGCAGGGAGAGAGGGGAGGTGGGGGCAGGGAGAGACGGGAGGTGGGGCAGGGAGAGACGGGAGGTGGGGCAGGGAGAGACGGGAGGTGGGGCAGGGAGAGAGGGGAGGTGGGCAGGGAGAGACGGGAGGTGGGGCAGGGAGAGAGGGGAGGTGGGGCAGGGAGAGACGGGAGGTGGGGCAGGGAGAGAGGGGAGGTTGGGGCAGGGAGAGAGGGGAGGTGGGGCAGGGAGAGACGGGAGGTGGGGCAGGGAGAGAGGGGAGGTGGGGCAGGGAGAGACGGGAGGTGGGGCAGGGAGAGACGGGAGGTGGGGCAGGGAGAGACGGGAGGTGGGGCAGGGAGAGACGGGAGGTGGGGCAGGGAGAGAGGGGAGGTGGGGCAGGGAGAGACGGGAGGTGGGGAAGGGAGAGACGGGAGGTGGGGCAGGGAGAGAGGGGAGGTGGGGCAGGGAGAGAGGGGAGGTGGGGCAGGGAGAGACGGGAGGTGGGGCAGGGAGAGAGGGGAGGTGGGGCAGGGAGAGAGGGGAGGTGGGGCAGGGAGAGACGGGAGGTGGGGCAGGGAGAGAGGGGAGGTGGGGCAGGAGAGAGACGGGAGGTGGGGCAGGGAGAGACGGGAGGTGGGGCAGGGAGAGACGGGAGGTGGGGCAGGGAGAGACGGGAGGTGGGGCAGGGAGAGACGGGAGGTGGGGCAGGGAGAGACGGGAGGTGGGGCAGGGAGAGACGGGAGGTGGGGCAGGGAGAGACGGGAGGTGGGGCAGGGAGAGACGGGAGGTGGGGCAGGGAGAGACGGGAGGTGGGGCAGGGAGAGACGGGAGGTGGGGCAGGGAGAGACGGGAGGTGGGGCAGGGAGAGACGGGAGGTGGGGCAGGGAGAGACGGGAGGTGGGGCAGGGAGAGACGGGAGGTGGGGCAGGGAGAGACGGGAGGTGGGGCAGGGAGAGACGGGAGGTGGGGCAGGGAGAGACGGGAGGTGGGGCAGGGAGAGACGGGAGGTGGGGCAGGGAGAGACGGGAGGTGGGGCAGGAGAGACGGGAGGTGGGGCAGGGAGAGACGGGAGGTGGGGCAGGGAGAGAGGGAGGTGGGGCAGGGAGAGACGGGAGGTGGGGCAGGGAGAGACGGGAGGTGGGGCAGGGAGAGAGGGGAGGTGGGGCAGGGAGAGACGGGAGGTGGGGCAGGGAGAGAGGGGAGGTGGGGCAGGGAGAGACGGGAGGTGGGGCAGGGAGAGACGGGAGGTGGGGCAGGGAGAGACGGGAGGTGGGGCAGGGAGAGACGGGAGGTGGGGCAGGGAGAGACGGGAGGTGGGGCAGGGAGAGACGGGAGGTGGGGCAGGGAGAGACGGGAGGTGGGGCAGGGAGAGACGGGAGGTGGGGCAGGGAGAGACGGGAGGTGGGGCAGGGAGAGACGGGAGGTGGGGCAGGGAGAGACGGGAGGTGGGGCAGGGAGAGACGGGAGGTGGGGCAGGGAGAGACGGGAGGTGGGGCAGGGAGAGACGGGAGGTGGGGCAGGGAGAGACGGGAGGTGGGCAGGGAGAGACGGGAGGTGGGGCAGGGAGAGACGGGAGGTGGGGCAGGGAGAGACGGGAGGTGGGGCAGGGAGAGACGGGAGGTGGGGCAGGGAGAGACGGGAGGTGGGGCAGGGAGAGACGGGAGGTGGGGCAGGGAGAGACGGGAGGTGGGGCAGGGAGAGACGGGAGGTGGGGCAGGGAGAGACGGGAGGTGGGGCAGGGAGAGACGGGAGGTGGGGCAGGGAGAGACGGGAGGTGGGGCAGGGAGAGACGGGAGGTGGGGCAGGGAGAGACGGGAGGTGGGGCAGGGAGAGACGGGAGGTGGGGCAGGGAGAGACGGGAGGTGGGGCAGGGAGAGACGGGAGGTGGGGCAGGGAGAGACGGGAGGTGGGGCAGGGAGAGACGGGAGGTGGGGCAGGGAGAGACGGGAGGTGGGGCAGGGAGAGACGGGAGGTGGGGCAGGGAGAGACGGGAGGTGGGGCAGGGAGAGACGGGAGGTGGGCAGGGAGAGACGGGAGGTGGGGCAGGGAGAGACGGGAGGTGGGGCAGGGAGAGACGGGAGGTGGGGCAGGGAGAGAGGGGAGGTGGGGCAGGGAGAGACGGGAGGTGGGGCAGGGAGAGACGGGAGGTGGGGCAGGGAGAGACGGGAGGTGGGGCAGGGAGAGACGGGAGGTGGGGCAGGGAGAGACGGGAGGTGGGGCAGGGAGAGACGGGAGGTGGGGCAGGGAGAGACGGGAGGTGGGGCAGGGAGAGACGGGAGGTGGGGCAGGGAGAGACGGGAGGTGGGGCAGGGAGAGACGGGAGGTGGGGCAGGGAGAGACGGGAGGTGGGGCAGGGAGAGACGGGAGGTGGGGCAGGGAGAGACGGGAGGTGGGGCAGGGAGAGACGGGAGGTGGGGCAGGGAGAGACGGGAGGTGGGGCAGGGAGAGACGGGAGGTGGGGCAGGGAGAGACGGGAGGTGGGGCAGGGAGAGACGGGAGGTGGGTGGGGCAGGGAGAGACGGGAGGTGGGGCAGGGAGAGACGGGAGGTGGGGCAGGGAGAGACGGGAGGTGGGTTGCACCTGGAGAGTCGGGAGGTGGGTTGCACCTGGAGAGTCGGGAGGTGGGTTGCACCTGGAGAGTCGGGAGGTGGGTTGCACCTGGAGAGACGGGAGGTGGGTTGCACCTGGAGAGTCGGGAGGTGGGTTGCACCTGGAGAGTCGGGAGGTGGGTTGCACCTGGAGAGTCGGGAGGTGGGTTGCACCTGGAGAGTCGGGAGGTGGGTTTGCACCTGGAGAGTCGGGAGGTGGGTTGCACCTGGAGAGTCGGGAGGTGGGTTGCACCTGGAGAGTCGGGAGGTGGGTTGCACCTGGAGAGTCGGGAGGTGGGTTGCACCTGGAGAGACGGGAGGTGGGTTGCACCTGGAGAGTCGGGAGGTGGGTTGCACCTGGAGAGTCGGGAGGTGGGTTGCACCTGGAGAGTCGGGAGGTGGGTTGCACCTGGAGAGTCGGGAGGTGGGTTGCACCTGGAGAGTCGGGAGGTGGGTTGCACCTGGAGAGTCGGGAGGTGGGTTGCACCTGGAGAGTCGGGAGGTGGGTTGCACCTGGAGAGTCGGGAGGTGGGTTGCACCTGGAGAGTCGGGAGGTGGGTTGCACCTGGAGAGTCGGGAGGTGGGTTGCACCTGGAGAGTCGGGAGGTGGGTTGCACCTGGAGAGTCGGGAGGTGGGTTGCACCTGGAGAGTCGGGAGGTGGGTTGCACCTGGAGAGTCGGGAGGTGGGTTGCACCTGGAGAGTCGGGAGGTGGGTTGCACCTGGAGAGTCGGGAGGTGGGTTGCACCTGGAGAGTCGGGAGGTGGGTTGCACCTGGAGAGTCGGGAGGTGGGTTGCACCTGGAGAGTCGGGAGGTGGGTTGCACCTGGAGAGTCGGGAGGTGGGTTGCACCTGGAGAGTCGGGAGGTGGGTTGCACCTGGAGAGTCGGGAGGTGGGTTGCACCTGGAGAGTCGGGAGGTGGGTTGCACCTGGAGAGTCGGGAGGTGGGTTGCACCTGGAGAGTCGGGAGGTGGGTTGCACCTGGAGAGTCGGGAGGTGGGTTGCACCTGGAGAGTCGGGAGGTGGGTTGCACCTGGAGAGTCGGGAGGTGGGTTGCACCTGGAGAGTCGGGAGGTGGGTTGCACCTGGAGAGTCGGGAGGTGGGTTGCACCTGGAGAGTCGGGAGGTGGGTTGCACCTGGAGAGTCGGGAGGTGGGTTGCACCTGGAGAGTCGGGAGGTGGGTTGCACCTGGAGAGTCGGGAGGTGGGTTGCACCTGGAGAGTCGGGAGGTGGGTTGCACCTGGAGAGTCGGGAGGTGGGTTGCACCTGGAGAGTCGGGAGGTGGGTTGCACCTGGAGAGTCGGGAGGTGGGTTGCACCTGGAGAGTCGGGAGGTGGGTTGCACCTGGAGAGTCGGGAGGTGGGTTGCACCTGGAGAGTCGGGAGGTGGGTTGCACCTGGAGAGTCGGGAGGTGGGTTGCACCTGGAGAGTCGGGAGGTGGGTTGCACCTGGAGAGTCGGGAGGTGGGTTGCACCTGGAGAGTCGGGAGGTGGGTTGCACCTGGAGAGTCGGGAGGTGGGTTGCACCTGGAGAGTCGGGAGGTGGGTTGCACCTGGAGAGTCGGGAGGTGGGTTGCACCTGGAGAGTCGGGAGGTGGGTTGCACCTGGAGAGTCGGGAGGTGGGTTGCACCTGGAGAGTCGGGAGGTGGGTTGCACCTGGAGAGTCGGGAGGTGGGTTGCACCTGGAGAGTCGGGAGGTGGGTTGCACCTGGAGAGTCGGGAGGTGGGTTGCACCTGGAGAGTCGGGAGGTGGGTTGCACCTGGAGAGTCGGGAGGTGGGTTGCACCTGGAGAGTCGGGAGGTGGGTTGCACCTGGAGAGTCGGGAGGTGGGTTGCACCTGGAGAGTCGGGAGGTGGGTTGCACCTGGAGAGTCGGGAGGTGGGTTGCACCTGGAGAGTCGGGAGGTGGGTTGCACCTGGAGAGTCGGGAGGTGGGTTGCACCTGGAGAGTCGGGAGGTGGGTTGCACCTGGAGAGTCGGGAGGTGGGTTGCACCTGGAGAGTCGGGAGGTGGGTTGCACCTGGAGAGTCGGGAGGTGGGTTGCACCTGGAGAGTCGGGAGGTGGGTTGCACCTGGAGAGTCGGGAGGTGGGTTGCACCTGGAGAGTCGGGAGGTGGGTTGCACCTGGAGAGTCGGGAGGTGGGTTGCACCTGGAGAGTCGGGAGGTGGGTTGCACCTGGAGAGTCGGGAGGTGGGTTGCACCTGGAGAGTCGGGAGGTGGGTTGCACCTGGAGAGTCGGGAGGTGGGTTGCACCTGGAGAAGAGGGGGAAGTGGGGAGAGCGGACGGGGGGAAGGAGAAGAGGGGGAAATGGGGAGAGCGGACGGGGGGAAGGAGAAGAGGGGGAAATGGGGAGAGCGGACGGGGGGAAGGAGAAGAGGGGGAAATGGGAGAGCGGACGGGGGGAAGGAGAAGAGGGGGAAGTGGGGAGAGCGGACGGGGGTAAGGAGAAGAGGGGGAAGTGGGGAGAGCGGACGGGGGGAAGGAGAAGAGGGGGAAATGGGGAGAGCGGACGGGGGGAAGGAGAAGAGGGGGAAATGGGGAGAGCGGACGGGGGGAAGGAGAAGAGGGGGAAATGGGGAGAGCGGACGGGGGGAAGGAGAAGAGGGGGAAATGGGGAGAGCGGACGGGGGGAAGGAGAAGAGGGGGAAATGGGGAGAGCGGACGGGGGGAAGGAGAAGAGGGGGAAATGGGGAGAGCGGACGGGGGGAAGGAGAAGAGGGGGAAATGGGGAGAGCGGACGGTGGGAAGGAGAAGAGGGGGAAATGGGGAGAGCGGACGGGGGGAAGGAGAAGAGGGGGAAATGGGGAGAGCGGACGGGGGGAAGGAGAAGAGGGGGAAATGGGGAGAGCGGACGGGGGGAAGGAGAAGAGGGGGAAATGGGGAGAGCGGACGGGGGGAAGGAGAAGAGGGGGAAATGGGGAGAGCGGACGGGGGGAAGGATGTGCGGACGGGGGGAAGGATGTGGTGAGTGAAGCGCACGCGTGAGGCGGGGAAGGCAGAGAACCAACCTTTCTACTTGCAATGCAATCCATGCACGCACGCACGTATGCAATCTTCCCGCACACACGTATGCAATCTTCCCGCATGCACTTATCCCCCCATTCCCTTCCCCATCACTTCTCCCTCCCACCTCTCCAACCTCTTTCCTACCTCTAACAACACCCCCCCTCCCTATTCCCCCAATCCCCCCAAACCCCCTTTCTACCTTCCCCATTCCCCCTTCCCTCTATCCCCGCCCCATTCCCCCCTCCCCACCGCATGTCGGGGAAACAGTCCGCCAGACGCGCGCGGACTGCCAGCACCGCGGGAGATGCCCTTGGGGCTCGACGCCTGCCCCCCCGCTCCCCCCGACCCTGCCGAGTCCCCCGCGCGGCTGCTAGCGTTAACGACAGCGGAGATTCCGCCGTTAATTGCAGCGCCTGCTGCGCCCAGCGCTACCGCCGCCATCTTGACGCTCCCGGCCAAAGTCCGCGCGCCTGCAGCGTGACGGGGCACGGCGGACGACGCCATGCGCGCATCCGCAGCGGGACCCGCAGCGGGGTGGTGACGCACCGCCGACAATCGCGGCTTCTCGGTGACGTACCGACGATCGCGGTATTGTTGAGCTCGAAAGCGGATAAGGTGTTGGATTGTACACAACGCGACGCGACAGTGTATGCGCCGTTTCAGCAATGTGGCCAGGTTGAAAGACAGAGAGACATGCCTGGCATAGCAGTTGCCTCAACCTGCTAGACCGCCGGTGCGACTCCTAGATGATAGCGGAATTCCACGTGTCGATTGCTTTGATCAGTTCCACTGGAAGCAGGCATTGGCAAGCAATCTTCTGTCCTTGGTCCTACCGCCTTTGTCGTTTCTGGCGCTGATGGTTCCGCGACTCCCACCTGAAATGACATTGGGTCTCGTTGTGGCGAGTTAAACTCGTTATTAACCTCTCACCTGACTAGCTATCAGCCAGGACATAGGTTTGAAGATTTATTGAGCCCCCGGAATAAAGCCCTGACCACACCTTTGAACCGAGTGGAAGTTACATTCGAAAGTGTAGTGCATGCTATGTTATTCAAAATCCCTAACGCTATTATGCCGCCGCTATATTCCCCGTTGGTCTGAGCCTGAGCCAAAGTGCCACGTTGCAATTGGCGATTTGCTTAGAGTTGGCTCTCATACTGACGAGCCTGACGTGCTTCACGACAGAGAATGCCAGCCGTCTGAACTATTCAAATCCCAGAACGCACTAGAATCTTTTCCCGCTAAGTTCTAGGTGTTCGGTCAGAGCTGACAAAAGAAAGCATTGGGTTGGGAATGGTTTCAAGACCACACACGCCAATCTCATTAGTCAAGCAAACGTCGAGGAGAACAAACGTCAAGGTCGGTTGTAAATTCCGATGTCGCGCCGCGTATTGTGTGACATCGCACGACCGAATCGTCTTGTCAACTGTCGCATGTCTGGGCACTTCCCACAGTTCGGAGAATTGGCGTGTGTGCGATTAGACAGAAGGTGAGCGAACGAGTGATTGATGCGAGCGAACATCGAGGCGAGGCCAGGTCAAATGTGCCACTGAACGGCTGCAGTGGTTTGTGTTGCGATTCATACGTCTCACGGTCGTACACGTTCGCAAATCACGGAAAAAAACCTATTCCAACGCGACACGCTTCCCCTCACTCACCCCCAATGACCAACACGTCTCCAAGCGTTTGTTTCCTCTCGGCATTCATTTCAACCGTTCATCATAACAAAGCTGCCAGTTTGAAATCCTTCAGAACCCTTCTAAACCTCTTAAAGTCAACTCCGTCCTAAAAGATCACCACATTCCACTCATCTGTTGAACACATTTTTTCGCGTGTCTGTGAAAACTCCTTTCCCACACCACACTCATCTCATCAGCCTCTTCAGGGATCATCAGACGCAACGGAGACCACAGGAAGCTCAGGACGCTGAAAAGCTGTGAGAACTATGCCGCTTGTGCAGTGAGTTTTCCTTTTCTGGTAACGATACGCGCTAGCCTCGCACTGTAGTACGTAGTAAATGTTGAGACCGATCACCTTCAAGAATGCCTGCAGGACCTCCCGCATCCCTTGCTCACCCCCTGGGTTCAGTCAACTTATCAGTACCAGACGTCTGATATCTTCGCCGTCATATGCGTTCTTCCACTTCTGGTAGACTCGCGGTGATAACCGCCGTAACAGATAGTTCTCCCATGCACGTCCACTTTTGACGCGCTTCGAAAGTATTGTGGTGATGGCGGCATCGGGCAGAACTCCCGTGGGAGTCCAGCGAAGCGTTACGGAAAGCTCTCTGGCGGAGCGTCGTCGCAATCGCGTCGGTCGCATTACTCCGCTCGCCGTCCCCAAGCCGTGCAGCTTTGATGAGATTACTAGTATTTCTTCCGACAATGGCCCGCCGGAGTACGCGGTCGAGTTAGCATCCTCATCAGCGTCATCCTCAACCTCCCATGGCTTTCCGCCGTACCGATTTGGCGATTCTTCCGTCACGCGGCGAAGATCGCAAGTCTGTCTCGAATCGCCCGCCTCCCGCGTACATCGCGATTCCAACGCGGATCGCGGATTTCCACCAAAGCGCGAAACACTCGTTCATTGCCACCCGAGTAGCAATAGTAGCAGTTATCTGCCGTCTTTCACTGACTCAATCGACTCCTACGCGCCTCCGCTTCCGCCCCAGCTGCCATGGAATCTCTCCGCGCTTGTCAGTCCACGCATGCCTCCGCCCCCTCCGTTGCGCAGCTCCCGCGCATTCTCATCCAGCCCGCTAACGCTGTCGGAAACTTCCTGCGGCGGCGCAGGGGCAACCAGCGGCGCTGGAACGCACGTTCTCCCGATGTGGCCCCCCGCATACCCGCAAGGGGTCCACCCGCGCCCGCAACTGCACCCGGCTCGCGCGCAAGAGCACGCGCACGCGCATTCGCAACCGCAGCAGCGCCCAGCTCCGCCGCGCGCACGACCTCCGCCGCTCACGGTGGAGGAGCTGGCGGCGCAGCGCTTCCTAGCGGGGTTAGGGGGAGCGGAAGCCGCCGTGGCGGAGTCTCTCGCGCAACACCGCCATCCGCGCAGTACCCGCGAAGACCGCCCTAGTCCCAGCGGTGGGAATCAAACAGGGCTGCCGGCGAGCCGCCATGCTAATGACCAGTCGAGGAGCTGCGGAGTTCAAGAAGCGGAAAGGCATGGTGCCATGCGGGGGAATCGCATTATGGCGCCATGCGACGCCGGTTACTCCCCAGTAGGTCCGAAGAGGGACTCGCCCGTAGGTCGGGGTATGCTTGGACGGTCCGACGAGTGCTCCGAGTCGTGTCAAGCCCGAGAAAGTCCCCGTGAACCAGATCCTTGTTATTCAGATCCCCGCTGTCTTGATCCCCGCTATAGTAATCCCCGCTATAGCAATCCCCGCTATAGTGATCCTTGCCGGAGGTTGCAGCGGCACCAGACGTGGAATTGCGCGGACGACCGTCGCGCGCGGACGAGCGGATGGCGGGACGTGGCCGTGGAGCCCAGGGGGGGGATCGGCCACGCGGCGACGCCCCAGGGGAGGAGCGGACACGTGGCGGAGCCGAGGGTACGACACGTGGGAAACACGCGCGAGTGGGCGGCGCGCAGCGGATTGAAACTGGACACGTCGGTGACAATTTTCGAGGCACGTCGAGAATCGACTGTGACAGAGGACCCGGTGACGGAGCTGCGCGGCAGTATCGAGACGAGCAGCTGGGAAGGTACGCGCGAGGGAGGAGACAGAAGGCGCACCGACTCACGAGAATTTAAACCTTGTAATAATCTTGAACGTTCGGTGTGAGGCTCTGTTGGGAAAAGGCTGCTTTCTTCCAAAGGCTGTTAGGCTGGGGAATGTCCCTGGAGAAAGTTGGGGGGGGGGAGAAGTACGTCATTCCGTGTGGGTGTACTTCATTTCGGCAGCTGCTGTGGGTGTGTTGCGTTCTTGCAGCAGCTGCCGCTCTGGGTCGTGGCAATGGGTGTGTGGGGGAGAGTCAGCGGAGCGGGGTAGTGCTGAGGCTGGGGAGGCGCACCGCCGCGATGTGTGTGTCTCCAGACCCCCTTTTCCGCTCACACTCCCTTCCCTCTCCTGCGCGCTCTCCCCTTTCTCCCGCGCCCGCTCTCATCCTCTCCTCCCTCTCACACTTCCGCATCGCCCCTCCCCCTCCCCCCTCCCCCTCCTCCCAAGCAGAGGTAGAAGCGCGGTGTTGCCAGCTGTCGCACGCCACAAGGACATAACCGCCATGGACCTCACGCACCTGCCACGTGAAAAAAGGAGTAGTCTCAAAGAGTTTTGAGACGTCTCAAAACAAGGACATAACCGCCATGGACCTCACGCACCTGCCTCCCTCTCCCTCTCCCGCTCCCCATCCCGATCCCACCTTCTCGCCCCTCCCACTCCCTCCGCGGGGGTAGAAGCGCGGTGCAGGCAACTATCCCACGCCAACGTGGACATAACCGCCATGGACCTCACATGCTCACATGCCTCCCTCCCCCACCCCCGATCCCATTCGCTCCTTTCCTTCTTTCCGCTCCCCGCTCGCCCCTTCCCGCCTCGCCCCCACAGAGGTCGAAGCGCGGTGCAGGCAACTATCCCACGCCAACGTGGACATAACCGCCATGGACCTCACGCACCTGCCGCCCTCTCCCGCGCCCACTCCCACAACCGCTACTCGCTTCTCTCGTCCTCTCCCGCTCCTCTCCCCGTCCGCCGCCTCCGCTGCCGCCTCTGCGTTCAAATCCGTGTCACGCGCTACCCTCGCCATCACGTCCCCTCGCTCTGACCCCCGTCCGGGCCTGCCTCTTCCTAGTCCGCGGGGAATTCTGCCTAGTCCCAGGGGTCTTTTGGGTCTGCCTAGCCCCAGGGGCGTGTTCAGTCTCGCCTCCCCTGGGTCCACCCGGAGTAAGCAGCGCCAGCAGTGGCAGCAGCGGGAAGAGGAGGCGATTGAGGAAGCAGAGGCGGTTGAGGAAGCGATTGAAGACGGGTGGGAGCAGGATGCAGAGAAGATTGGCAGGACGCAGCAGCAGATGCAACAGTGTTTGGAAATAGAGGGGCACCAGCAGGAGCAGGAGCAGGAGGAGGAGGAGGAGGTGGAGCAGCAACAGCGACGGCAGCAGAGACGTGAGGAGAAGCAGCAGCAAGCGGCAGAGGCAGAGAATGAGCAGCAGTCAGAGGGGGAGCAGCAGGGCAGCTCCAGCCCTCCGCTGCGATCTCTGTGCTCCTCCTCCTGCCTGCCCGGACTGCCCACCCCCTCCTGCTCCCTTCTCTCTCTCCCCCCTCTCCGCCGACACTCCACTGGGCGCAGGGCAGAAGCACAGGCAGGGGTATCAGCGCCAAAGGCACATGGAGGAGAAACAGTATCAAAGCCCCAGGCGAGGGCCCGGATAAAAGTGAAGGCAGAGGCAAGGGTAGAGGCGAGGGAAGCTGCTGGGAGCACAACAGAAGGGAATGGGGTGGGTGGTGTGGACGGGAAGGTGGGGGTGAGTGGGATGAGGCAGGTGGGAAGCAGAAGTCA